CGCACAAGCGCGTATATAGAAAATCGTTTCAATTCATCAAACATGGAATTTATTTTCAAATATGAAAAGGCAAATAGTAGTTGTTTTTTTTTACATGTCAAGATTGATTATTATGGAACGTTGTTGTAATAATATAAACATATATTTAAAACATATGAAAAGCATATCATGAATCGATCTGAGATATATAAAAAAAAATTCTGAATGCCACAAAAGTTAATTTGACATTATTTTTGTTTCAATTGCGAAAAGGAAACCCTCCCCCAAGAAAAAAAATTCAATTTAGATTTGCAAAAATCAAAAGATTTTTGATGTCGGATAAAAGAAAGAAAGGCTTGAATGAACATGGAACATCTGTATAAAGTCGTATAATAATGATTATATAGTTTTTTTTTGTAATTTGGCTAGTGTCAATGAATGAATCTTTTTTTGAAAGAAAAAACAGTCATTTATCCTGAATCATACCTGAAAATTCTGGTGAATAAATTTTGAAAATACAAGATATGATGATGAGATGTACACATGACCAATAGTGTATTGTATTCAACTTTGTGTGTGTGTGTGTGTGTATATGGATAATCAACTAACAAACAAAATATACATCATCATTCATTTATATATCAATGATAATGTTCAACCATCCGAAAGAATAATGGTGATGGTGAAACAACAACCATAACAATAAATGGAAAGATTTCAGAATAAAAGCAATAGAGAGAATGAAAGTTTTTTTTTTTTTTTTGGATATAAATTTAATTGAATAAATAAATAAACACAAGACAGATGTGTGCTTCTGCCTTTATTCGTTGTTGTTGTTGTTGTTTTTCACTTATAATTTTATATAACAAACGATTCTTCAAAAACAACAACAACAACAACAACAAAAAAAACAAATTGACGCTGATGAATACAGTAACAACAACAGAAAGCAAAGAAAAAAATAATACCAGAATCAAAATAATGGTCACCGGTACTGTTATGCTACACGATATTCTGGATACCGTCATAATAAATACCGAAAGAGATTTCTCAATCATTTTTATTCCAGTGAATTCTTTGTTTGTTTGCAAACGAACAAATTTCGTGTGTAGGTTTTGTTGTTGTTGTTGTTGTTGTTTATATATGAAACTTTGAAACACTGAGAATTATTTTCGTCAATTTATTCTTCAAAACAAACAATCGAGAGCAAAAAAATCTAGGTATCTAGGATTCTGTACAATAAATCAAGATCAAAGTTTAATTTTGAAATGAAAAAAAAATAAACAGAATTGATATAGATCAATAATTCATAATCAAGCAATTCAAACACACACACACACACACAGAATCATAATTCATGTGATGATAATCTCGAACAATTTTTTTTTTGCTATTGTGTTTTTTTCATCAATCGTGAATCTCTCCGTCTCTCTCTCTCGCTCTTTTGGAATATAAGCTGACATCCAAAAAAAAAGTTAAAGTTGAAATATAAAATATAATCTGGTTATTATATATTTAACTACGCATGTGTAAAACAAGAATAAAATTCGTGATGATGATGATGGTGATAGTAGCAACAGAATCACCAGAATCTGAAATAAACTGAAATGAAAGTTTAAATCTATCATCATATCCAATAATAGTATTTAGAAATTTCCAATTATTAAAGTTGTAGTTTTTTTTCATTTAAGCAATTTCCAATGAAAAAAAAAATCAATTGATAGATCGAATAAAATTGAAAAATTTTTCAATAATTATAATCGATATTAATCATAATTAGAATTGGCTTTCAAAACGGATCAACTGAATACCGACCAACCAACTAACCAAAAAAAAAACATTCACTGAAATAACGCTGTACAGATGTGCCAATATATTATCCATGAAAAGTTAATCTGGAATTTATTATTATTGGCAACCAAATCATCATTTTTATTATTATCGTTGTTCTTTTATCGACATATTATAATATAATCGTTCGAAATTTTTTTTTTTGTTGATACCGGCCATAAATGTCCATCATAATGGCCAAACTTGGCCATCTTTTTCTATCATCATTGTTCAATTGATGTAATGATGATAAAAAAAAATTATCAATGCTCTTGATGATCATCATCATCATCCATAATCATTTCAATTTGGTTATTAATGTCATCACCATGTGTGTGTGTGTGTGTATCCTATTCTGTCGTTATGAGCACCGTCGTTTTTTTTCTTTTTACTTTTGTTTTCACTCTTTTTCTTTTTATTCAAACAATTATGATAAATAATGTTAAAGAATGTAAATTCAATTTAATTAAAAATCAGACACACTGAGAGTGAGAAAGAGAAAATGTCATTATTCAGGAAAAACAACAACAAAAATGATGATGATTTAAATTAGAACAAATGAAAATACCCGAACCACACACACACACACACACATACCCATGGAACAGTGGTAAATTTTAATTTCAATTATAAAAAACAACAACAACAAGAACAAGAAAAAAAAAAAAAAAAATCATCATAAACAACATAAGACATTTGACAAAATAAAATTACAAAAAAAATGCAATTTTTTTCCATCCTACGACCAAAAAAAAAAAAAACCAGCGACAATAGAAACCGTAACAACAATCTAATAGAATTATATGAGGGATGGAAAAAGAAGAAGAAGAAGAAGAAGAAGAATCAAAATCTTTTGTTTGCTTTATTTTCAGTTTCTTCAGTAGGATGTTTGATGTCATCCAAAGTTGATGACGATAGTATCCATTCTGGAACAACGTAGAATCTAGTCTAGAAATATATGTGTCTGTGTGTGTGTGTGTGTGTCTCCTTTCTGAATGCCAATGTCTGTCTGTGTGTGTGTGTGTGTGTGTGTGTGTGTTTGTATGTGAATAATTGAATGATTTGATGTGTAATGTTAAGTTGTTTTTTTTTACAAGTTTTGTGTATTGTTTCTTCATCTTTTATCGTGTCTATAGTTTTCGATATATGTATATCTATACACGGATATGTGAACAGAATCTAATTTAATTTAATTTCATTTCATTTTTTTTGTTTCTTGGATTCTTTTATATACAAACCATCGTATATATAAATATAAATAATTTTTAATGTTGATGTGGCCTGTGTGTGTGTGTGTGTGTCGGTGGTAATGTATGTAATGGTACAAATCTAATAAAGTAAAAAAAAAAAATAGAAAAATACCGAATCCAACAACAGAAACCAGATAGAAATTTTAGAATTAAGAATACCGAATGATTAAAAAAAAATGTGATGAGTGTGGTGTTGTTGTTGTTGGTTGGTTGGTTGTGGCATATACATAACGCGTACAAAGACAGAAAAAAAACATCCAAATAGAATTTTTTACAAAAAAAAAAAAAAAAAAAACAAAACAGTGAACAAGAATCAGTGAACAAAGGATTTTTTTTTTTTGTTAATAACAAACAAAAATCGCCATCAATTTAGCTTCAAAAGACTTCGATAGATCTATAATCAATCGTTCATTTTAAGGACAATGGTAAACATCCTGAATTCATTTATCTACCATCCAATACATCGATCTATCTATAATAATAAATGTGTCACACATATTATAGTCATTTTTTTAATCAACAACAACAAAAAAATTCAATTTTTAAAGAAAAAGATTGTTGTTTGTTGTTGTTGTGGCTGTCATCATCATCATCATCAACAACAACAACAACAACAACAAACATTGTCTACAGAATCATTGTATTATGAATTGATTACAAGAAAAAAAAGGAACTCAAATTTCATTACATACAAACAAATGGTAGAATTTTTTTTTCTTCTACGGGGCGTATGGAAACAAGTCTATTGTTTTCGACCATAATTCATTGTGTGTGTGTGTGTGTGTATGATTCTGGATACAAACAAACAAACAAACAAAAAAAAAAATGTTGACAACAACAACAACAACAATAACAGAACAGAATAGAGAAAAAAAAACGGCAACCATGGAATTGAAATGACCAAAAACAATGGAATGAAGAGAATTAAAACCAAATTCCAATGAAGATGAATATTTAATGATTTGTGTGTAGAAATAAAGTCATATATACAAAATTTATGTTGATCTAAATAAGATTTAAATATTTAATGTAAACAGGACCATTGAATGTTTTAAGTATTCAAAAAAAAGAAAAGAAAAGAAAAGAAAGTTGAAATGAATTTCTGAATAACTTTTTTGTGTGTGTGTGATGTTTTTTTTTTTTTGATTATTATTATTATTGGAATCGCTAACTTTAAAAGTCAATGTGTTTTTGTTTTTATCAAACACTTGCACACACACACACACACACACTAAGATATGAGACAAGGTTGATTTAGTGATAAATGACCAGTACAGAATTCAATCGAAAAAAAAAATAAACCAGTAACAATTAATGTGGAGAAGGTTTTTTTTTATATAACCAAAACTATGTACGAAAATACAAAGACATAGAAGATTGTTGTTCAAGAAAACAAAAAAAACAGAGAAAAAAAATTCTCACGGGAACCGTTATAATAAAATATGATCAGAAACAAAAAAGAAAAGATGTACAGTTTTTTCCTATATATAGACAACAACAGACATATATACAATACACTTTTATCACAATATGGACATGAAATTCATTTAATGAATCGGATACAAAATCGAATAACGAAATCGAAACATGAATGCATGAATACATGGAACTCGTTGAACTTTGTGAATCATCATTTCAATCATTTCTATTAGTGGTATAAATTCACACATGAATGAATGATGAGGTATTATGAATTTGTTCATTGATGATTACAATAGACAAAACGAAAAAAAAAAAAATTAAATCAAATGATGAATAAATGAAACAAACAGAATATTATCATTGTAATCATGTATTGATGATTATTAGCTTTACTAAAGAGATACTTTTTTTTTTGTTTTCATTTCATCAGATCAATAAATTCTAGATTGCAAATTCAATGCAACAATCAATATTTTGTCATCATGATCATCATCATTTAAAATTATATGGCAAAATGAATTTAAACTTTTTTTTTTTTGTTCTTTAATTTCCACAACAAAAAACAATACACACCATAGTCTTTACATAACATGACAATGGTTCCATACATACACCATTATTGTGCAAATAATAACAATAGAATATATGAACAAAAAACAAAAGAAAAAAAATAATATTCTGGACATGGTCATTATGATGATGATGATGATGATGATAATAGAATTGGCCAATGGATCGTTTTTAAACATACACACACACACACATTCATACATGTGCATGCATGCATTCATTCATTCATTCATCTGGATGTTTGCGACAAGAATTTATCTTAAATCCACAGAGACATTTAAAGCAAACAGTGTAACCTGTGATGGAAATAAAGTGAACAAAACAAAAAAAAACAATTTAGAAAATCGTACAGGAAATAAGATCTGGACATGTAAGAACATACCTATGATGATGATAATGGCCAACGGTTAATTGTCTAAATGTTTTATATAAACACAAGTGGATAAAAATTACAGGAATTTTTATTTTTTTTTGTTTTTGTTTTTGGACAAAAGACAGAAAGAGAGGTCAAGTTATCAATGTTCTATGTTGATGGTGAATCACACACTGGCATAGTCGGGCATATCCAAATAAGAAAATGTAATAAATATTCGAACATCTTATCTATGGAAAAACCGAAAAAAAACGAGAATATATATTGTTGTTTAATTTATATAAATGATAATGATGATTTGGATATCGTTGTTGTTGTTGTTTTTTTTGGTAACAAAGAAAAAAAAATGTTTGTAGTCAAAAAGAACATGAAGCACAGCTGAACAAAATCTGCAAATATAATATATAAATAATAACCTAGTACCACATTTTGTTTATTTTTTGGTTTTCTTCACGTTCATCGCCACCGCCATCATCATCATCATCATCATCATCAACTTCATCAACATCACCGGGTTACCAAGTAATCCCAATATACAAAAAAAATAAGTAATATAAGGTCAATCATCATTACGAATTGGATGAAACAACTATGTGACTTTGATACTGATCGATTTACGATAAATCGAATATTATTATAATAATAATCATTATTATAATGATAATGATTATCGGGTTTATTGGTAATAATCATAATAATGATGATGATGATGATGATAATAGACATTAGACATGGATCAGAATTCAACTAAATTATTATTAAACCCAAATGATTCGAGAGAAAAGAAAACAAATTCAATTTCGATGAAATGACCATCAACCATTTGCCAAATATTAATAAATAAACATTGTTTATAAACTAAAAATGTTTTCATCTTCATCTCGATCAAATCGAATGCGATTTTGTGGAGACTAAATATATTGACAATTTGAAAGATGAAAATGGTCGTCGATCAGATTATTTGATTGTGTTCTTGAACAAATGATGCACACAAATTTCCTATATTGACAAATGAAAAATTTAAATATTTGAGAAATGTGTGTAATTAAATTAAATTTAAAAATAAAAAAAAAAAAACCATTTCGTTGTTAAATTTGCCATCATTGAATGAATCGATGATGATGATGATGATGATACATTGAATTTATTATTATCAAATGAATTTCGACTGATGATGATGATACATTGAATTTATTATTATCAAATGAATTTCGACTGATGATGATGATTTAACTGGAATTTATTCGTATTCTTTATTTGCTTAGTGATTTATTGTTGTTCTATAGATTAGAACGCGTTGCTGCAGCTTTTGCATCCAATAGATGGTGCAGTCATTCAATAGAACATAGTAAGAGTTCGAATTCGAATTGATTATTGTGACACGTGTGATTTTCATTTTGTGTTCCTGTTTGTGAGTGAGTATTTGATGATGAAATCTTGCTTGTAGACTGCATTCATTCGACTGATTTTTTCATTTTTTTTTGTTTCCATAATCTACTCATCATTTTGTATTTGGTCAATTTGGTAAGTGTTGGATTATTATCAGTTATTTAATATAACACTGTTGAATGTGTTCGATAATTGAATTTGCTTACGAATATTATATATATATATAGTATTTAAGTGTCAAGAATTTATGCCGTTGTTTATTTCCTGTATTTATGCCTGTTCAAACTCAACTCAACTCTATATTATATTATTTGCAAACCATTGAATCCAAATTCCAAAGTCACTTGCTATTCTAAAAGTATGTTATTTTATTTTACCCGATTTAACCTGATTATACCTAAAATACCTGATAGTTTTTTTTCATCATTTAAAATAAGAAAAATGGAGCAATAACAACATCATCATCAAAATCGTAGGGTTCGCACGAAGCATTAACTTTTGACTGGATACCAAGTAAGGGGGCAGTGCAGAAAATATTTGAGGCTACGCCGCGAAAAGCTGTACCGGGCTCGTTTTTTTTTATTTTTCGTGCTCGAAAAAGGTATACTTTATGTATTATATGAAAAGCCCTCGTTAAACACTTGAGCTCGCTTGAATCGAATCTGTTCAGAGTTCATAATTACATCATCGCATAAACAATAATTCATTTCATTTGTCTATTTTTTTCGTTTCATTTTTTAACGATGGAATTTAAAAATTTAGTCAAAACGTTGGACAACATTCAATTGTCAGAAGATTCACGAATAATTGAAATGAATGAAGAAAATTTTCAATCCGATCAAGATCATCATAATCAATTTAATGGTGAATCAAATGAATCATCAAATTTTGATTTTAAAATTTCTACTGGCATTATTAAATCATCACAATTTTTTATGATTAATTTGTTGAACATTGAAAGAAAATGGATCCCAATATTAGCAGTAATTGATCCTTCCAGTGAAAATTCAAATGTGAATAAAATATTGCTTGATACGCTTGTGGTGGATAAATTTTATTCATCAAATCAAGCACAAATTTTTATTTCCATTGGCTGGCTTATTGGCCCATTATCAATCAATGTCGTAAAAGACAATGAAGCGCCGATGATGGTTTTATCATTGGCCGGGTTAAAAAAATTTTCCATCACCTCTCACCAATACTTCAAACAAACCATTAATCAAATCTTTGATGAATCATTAATCGATTCATCAAATGGTGTCGAATCGGATCCAAACAATGATGAAGAATCAGTTTCATTCATATCAAATGGTCGGCTTCATATCAATGTTGAACCATATAAAAGAATGAAAACGGAAAATACTTTAAAGAATAATGTGCAAAAATTGATTGATAAATTCATAAAATTTGAATTATTAATTGAAAATGAATTGCCATTAATCTCACCTTACGAAATTTTATTCGAATGGAAAGATTGTAAACAAATTTCATCCAAATATTTATGTTTCAATCAAAATTTGGAAATTTATTCTGATTGGAAGCAAGCACTTGATGAAAAAATCATTCCCACTGATCAACCATTTGAAGATCTGTTGATCTTTGAAATTATTGCAACAACTTACGATACAAATGTCAAAACAAAATTGAATTATTTGTTGGTTAAATTTTTGCCATCAGATTTTTATCTGATTTTACCAATCGAATTGAAATCATTAATAAGCAAGCATTTTTGGAAATTTGTACAGCAAAAAAAACAGACCACCTTTTTTTGAACGATCGACTGTACAAACGAAATTGAGGTAAAAATAAAACAAACAAAATGAGACGAGAAAATAATTACGAAAATTTTCTTTTTTTTTTTGATTATAGAGAATGAAGATTAATCAATTTTGAATACAAATATTTTTTTCTTTTGTTAAAAATGTTTTCATGATAAAATAAGTAATTAAATAAATCCATATTTTGAATAATATAATTTGTCTTAATAAACTTTTATTTCGTTTTAAACAAATTGGATCATTTCAAAAGCATCGCATATGTGTGTGTTTGTGTGTGTGTGTCAATATGTCTACAAAGATTTCTGATTAATAACCATTGCAGCAATGATATTTTCAATTTCTTGGCCACTGTATAACTAACTATATATTCTATATATGATGTGATTTGTAAATTAAATTTCTAAAAATTTCAAGGAAATCAAGAAAAAAAGGCCACATCATCAATAGCCATATATACCACATATATAATATATAAACATTACACAGTCCATGTGTTATCTTTTGTTATTATTACTTTATTATGAATACAACACAACAAAAGATGGTGATAAACCACTATGGGAACACCATATATACAGTAGGTAATGATGATGATGGTGTTGGTGGTGATGGTGAAACATACGTTTCCCGTATCCTTCTCCCTTTTAAAACACACACACACACACACACACACGCACGCTAAAAATGATGTTTGTGTGCAAATTAGCTTTTGAATCACTGTTATGCATACATGTTTGATAATGATGATGATGATGTATTCTGTATAGTGGAAATAATTCCCATAGAAAAAAAGAAGTATACGATACCGGGACACGTTTTTGTAGAATAAGCGGTGCGTAGAGAATTTTTTTTTTTTTTTTTTTTGGTTGTGGTAGGTTACGATGTTAGTATGGGGGTAATAAAAATAGGGATTCTATGCCAACTTGGAATTCATAGAATTGGCTACAATATATAACCAACAACATTATGTGACTATACGATGACGAACGAACGATAAAGAATTAGATGAAAAGCATGTGTGTGTGGAGAGATTTTTTTTCTATATTTTTTTTTTTTTTTTGAAATATTCCATATAGGATGCTGCTATCAATTGCTTCAACAACAACAACAACAACAACAAAAAAAGAAAAGAATAATAACATGAGTGCCATACACTTGAACCGACCGACCGGACCATCTCATCATCATCATCATCATCATCATGATCATCATATTTATTTGGCCCTTGTAACTTGCTGACTCAATTTTTTCTGTTGTTGTTGTTGTTGATGTTATAAGTTTATGTGAAATTTGTTGTTAGTAGTCAATAATAAATTTGAAACGAGAACATTCTAATATCCTAAGTATACAAATACACACATGCATACATTTAACGTTTTTGTGTGTGTGTGTGTGTGTGTATACTTAGAATATAATGATGATTATGCGCTATGACTTGGAATCAGAATTTATTTATCTAACAACAATAATAATAATAATAATATTCCTCATTTTAAGAAGAATATCTTATATCTGAAAAAAAAAAATCTAATTCAATTATCCATGATGATGATGATGATATTTAGGTCTACATAATAATAATAATAATAATGGTAGTATAAATTCAATCCGGATATAAGCTCTATTTGTCGCCATTATTATTATTATGGAACATCAACCACACACACACACACACACACATGGTACACACACACACACACACACACCACTTCAACAATAACAAGAACAAAAATGTTCAAAGTGTGAATATAATATGATAAAATAGATTTTTTTTTTGTTTTGTTTTGTAACTCAACTTGGTGATTATTATTATTAATATACCAAATCCTTCATATTATATAATCCTTTACGTTTAACAAAGCACAAGAAAAAAAAGTTTTGCCTTATCATATCCATAAAGATGATGATGATGATGATGATGATAATTATAATGAACAAATGAAAATGAATGCATTCAATGTTTGAAAAAAAAACTTTGAAATCCATTTCAAACAACATCATCATCATCATCATCATAATGATTATGAATGAATGTTGAAAATAGGACAGAAGATCATCATCAAGAACCATTCATTCATTTTATTCATCATTATAAAACACCATTGTTTTTATAAAGTTAATGAATATTAAAAAAAAAAAAAATGAAAACAAAGAATCAACAAACAAACAAAAAAGAATTACTCGGGTCAAATAATTTTGTCTAGTGAATTGTGTGAAACTCACGATGATCATCATCATAAATTTGATTATTTCATGAATTCTATGCCATACGATATGATATACCAGATGAAACTAATAATACAAGCCTTTGGGCAAACCCCCTTACAGAATACAAAAAAAACACGATGAAAATCATCATATACCAAAAAAAAGAAGCATTATTAAACACAAACACACACACATAGAATTCTGGAATGGAATATGGCCAAAAAAAAAATTCCCATTTGGAAACACACTACTCTGGTTTATGTTTGCATTATTTTCTTCAACATGTATATATGCATGTATTCATCTACAAATCAACTGGAAAAACTAATTTGTAAAGTTGATGAGAGAGAGAGAGAAGAAGAGAGATCTAATTATTAGTGGAATATAACCAAAAAGTGAAAATGAATGAATGAGTTTTGCATCAGCAGTTGTTTTGTTGTTGTTGTTGTTGTTGTTTGTGGTGATCATAATCACATACTCTTGTAACAACATCGACCAAAATAAAAAACACAAATAACAACATCAACATGAAGAAAACTTTCATCTATCCGAATTAATTGAATAGAAAAAAACTATTTTTGAATTGGCGAATTGATCATCCAATTATTTTTGAATTGAAAAATAAAAGAATTATGAGATAATTCCTTAAGTTCTTTTTTGATATTTTTATTTGTTAATTCGGCATATTGCCACAGATTATGTTGATCAACTATGAAGATAATTAAATTAAAAATTATTATTTACCACATCATTTATAAAGCCAAATTACTTTTATGATCAATTTTCCAAGTATCACCAATAGCAAATATCAACCCATCATTCGTTTCAAAGTTTATCACCTATATTTATAATAGATTTTGGTTTAATATTTATCGATAAAATTGTAATCAATTCAATTACTTCTAAAAACGTTTCAATTTCATTCAGAATTTCTCTGACAATTTTTTTTATGTGGGAAATGGATGATCGGTGACTGGAATTGATCCATCCTTTGCTAAAATAAAAAGAAAGATATATTGAATATATCAAACTTATACATTTCATTTAACAAAACATTATTTGGACTCAAAACTTTTAAGGTGAATCCATTTAATGTAAAAAAAACAAGCATTGAAAAAAAAATACTGTAATGTATGCATCATCATAGAGGAAATTGAATAGAACAGAATCTTCAGAATTTTCAATCTAAATTCTATCCAGCTATTTTTTTTTAGTTTAGTTTTTGTTCCTTCAATTTTGTTTTTCATATTCTGGATTTTTTTTTGTATATAGGGAATAAAATAAAAAATATTGGAAGAAAAAAAAATTTTTTAAATGAAACTTTAACTAGTTATATTATTCTATAATAGTCTAGTTGTAATAATTTCCAGAATTTGTTATTAGCTTGTGTGTGTGTACATGATGTTTTCATTTTACTTTTTCTATTACACAAAGAACTAATATAGCCACAAGTATAAAGGGTTAGAATTTAAAAAAAAGAAGAATTTTGTTTTGAATTTGAAACATATTCATTCATTTATTCAGAATAAAAAAAAAATTTCATTTTTTTTGCATCCATTCTTTTATTCTGTTATTATTATTATTATTATTATTATTGCTATTATGTTTCTTTGAAAATTTGTTCAAAACAAATGCGTTTAGTTTATTATTGTTATTGTTCACAACCTGGCGTCATTCAATAAAGGGGTTTGTGTGCATTGATGCTTATTTACGCACAGTTAGAAAAAAAAACTTTAACACAATTATAACACGCACATATACACGGTGAAAATGAAAAAAATCCGAAATCAAGAGAATCCAAATGAATAGTATGAAGAGAGAGAGAGAGAGAGAGAAAAAAATCCAAAGAAAAATATGAGCATCTTAATGAATAATATACCCTGGAGAAATAAATGATGTGTATAAGGGAAATTAAAGAATCTCTACTATTGAAAATGGATGGTGTGCAAAGGAAAAAAAAGGAAATGTATATGAAATGTCATGAAATTTATTCGAATGTTTTGTAATTATCCATTTATTTGATTACATAACTGACCCAAAGTCATAGAATACACGTCAGCACATCTTGTGTGTGTGTGTGTGCATGTAGAAAAAACTATGGTAATCATTAACGTTAAAACAATCAATTTTTTATTTGCTCTTGTTGCAATTAATCAATAATCATAATCCAGTAAAGAAAAAAAATGATGCAACCAAACTTCATCATCATCATTGCACTACTATTGTATTGTAATGAAAATTCAGTCATAATTTATGGAATTGCAACCCCGGTTGTGTATATGGAGAAATTAAAGGTTCAGCACAAATTACAAGCAAATTAATCATTATATATATATATCGTACTATCATCATCATCATCATTCGACAAACAAACAAACAAACAAACGAACAAGAACCAAGAACATTAATTAACTTGAATTTATGATTCACATGATTTTCTAATTCTATTTCTGTGTGATGATAATGATGTTGTGATTATTTTTTTATTCTCGAATATAGAATGAATGAATGAATGGTAGGTAAAAAAAAAAATAAATATTTGATGCAAATATGAACGTGTATATTTGTGTATGTATGAATTTGTTTAATTACATTTACATACATTGATAAATTATCATCTTCATAATGAATGATGATATGACTTGGATGTTTCTGTGATTGAAATACAAACATGAAGAAAAAAAAATATATTCGAATCATCAAGATAATTCAATTCACACATAATAATACATGTATCAATAAAATAATACACCATTTTATTTATTAACAATCAATCATGATTGATTTTTGATCGATTAATCTATATAGGATTGATTTTCTTTATTACTTGATTCATTGAATAATCTTTTGAATTGCAAATTTTTTTTCTTCTTCTTCATGATGAACATTCTGGCAAAATAAATGAATCGAATTGAATAAACTGTACTATTATAGAATTTTTATTTCTCCACTAGAGAAAAAAAAAATACAATTATGTCTGACACAAATAAACGATTTGATAAAAATGAAAAGAAAAAAAAATTCCAAATGATACAAGATGAGAAAAATAAAACACTCACAATACACTTCAATAATAATAATAATAATATTCAAAAGATAACCATTTTTAAAAAAAAAAAAATATATTTAGGAAATGACGATATCCTATTTTGGAATTTTTTTTTCTTTGCTCTTCAATATACAATATCCGTAACCGCGATATATCAAGTGAATTTTTTCTTTATGCAATGCTTTTTTTTTTGCTGTCGAACAAATATTGACAACTCTAAGCACGAATCCAATTTATGGTTTTCGACACACACACACACACACACACACACACACAAAAGAAATTTGTTTTTGCCACCCTCGCTCTCTGTGTCTCTGGCAAAAAACGATACAACTATCATCACACATCAGTACACACATAACATAAATTCTGAATTTTTTTTTTTTTTTTGAAAGTAAAAAAATTTCACTAAAAACTTTATACTTTTCTATATACATTATGGGATACATAATGATTTCAACATGCACATATATATGTAATGGACAAAATTATTATAACAATAATCATCTGGAACTACACACACACACACACACACACACACACCATCCAAAATATCATATCCATTGAGATTATATGATGGTGTTGATTTGAATTTGGACCAAGCAGAGAATGACTTTTTTTTTTACTTTTTTTTGACTTATTATTTACAAAATACACATTCCTATAAAAAATCATTAGATATTTTCTTTAAATATTTATGTATTTACCACTCACCACCACCGCCACCACCCACACCGAATTGTATATGTTATGAATCGAATATGTTCGGCGACCCGAAAAGTATCGACAACAGAATGAACAGAATAATTCCGGTGGCCACTAAAAAAAATTGTTGGTATTAAATGATAATACATGAACACATTCATACACGTACGTGAATCACTCAAACAAAACAAAACAAAACAAAAATGTTTGAAACAATATTCTTTTTTTGGCTATAGACACAGAATATTATTAACCATAATAATAATAAGAAGAAGAAGAAAAAATGTGAATCCTATACACATTCTTATTTTTTTTTACAATACCAGGGGTAAGAAATCAGGAATAATAATAACAACAACAACAACAACAACAAGAGAAAACAACTTTTTTTTCTACATTTTGTAAATCTTTTGTCGTCGTTGTTGAATGATATTATTCAACACAATAGAAATAGAAAATAAAAAATGAAACGAAATTGTACATGTATGTAATGCTAATAAAAATCTGTTTTTTCTCTCATTCTTCGTGTTTGTATGAGCTCATACAATATTTATCATCATCATCATCATCATCATCATGACGATCATGATCTTTGGTAACACAAGAATAATAATAAGAAAATAAAACGATATAACGAATAAGAATCAGAATATCAAACTATATGGATCACCACATCATGATCAAATGATGATGATGATGATGAAAAAGAAATACCGAAATGGAATCCAGGAAAAAAATGGAATATAAAAAAAAAATCTTTTCGCCGTCGTCATCATCGTTTGTTGTCGTCCATGCGAATCAATTTTCCAGGCAAAAGAAAAATAAAAACTTTTCCCGGCTATGAATCAATGAATGTGAATGTGAATTAAATTAAATTCAAATCGAATGTGCTTGTGTTTTTTTTCTCCTGTCTCTGTAAAGAGATGCTTATTGAAAACAAAAATCCAAACAACAACAACAACAACCAAAATATTGAAATTTGAATCAAAAAAAAAAAAAAAAATCCAGGAAAATAAAGAGTTATTTTTTGGATGATTTTTTTTTCTTTTTTCATTTTGTTCTTGATCCGATTTCATTTTTGGTTTCACTGTTTTCTACTGTTGGATTTCGTGGATTTCGTGGAATAAAAAAACAATTCATATATTCAAATAACATAACAATGAATATATATGTAAAAAAAGAATATTCCATAGAATAATCTGAAAAAAATTGGCCATTCTTTGTCGATTCTTTTTCAAACAAAATGACAATTCTGAGAATGACAACATAGACAGCAGCAACAACAACAACAACAACATTGGCAACAATAACAACAATAACAATCGAATATGTCCAAAACAGAATTGAATTTTAGTCAAGAAAAAAAAACTATAGTGAAAACAATTTTCTTTTTCAACTATCACAATTCTTGATTATTCAATAGATGGATCTAATAATAATAATACATTATTTTCAACATTCTTCATAAAAAAAAATGAAACCAAAATTTTTTTTAACAAAGAAAATATTCATTCAATTTTGGTTTTTTGTTGTTTGTACGAATATTTTCATTTTTTTTTCACCGACATGAAATGACAGATTCCAGACATTCCATTTTTTTGGCTGATTTTTCATTCAAATCTTGACTTGTTTAAATGACAAATAATGTATTCAATTGTGAACAACAGAATACGTTAATTATTTGAATGTTATTGCCATAAAAAAAATTTCAATTTAAACTATTTGATGATATATATAAGTAGAAACGAGAAAAAAAAACCAATGAATTGATACCAGTAAACCGTGGTTCTGGCTGTTATCTATTCGAAATTGTTTCAAAATTCTTATTCCGCCGCCATTTCATCATATATTAACACAGAATTCGATTCTCAAATGACAAAATTCTTTTTAACATTCACAAAAGTAGACAGTCATTCATTTATTTTATCCACATTGAGAATATAAATCAAGAACTGCTCCGGTATAGTACAAAATACCAACGAAAAAAAAAGATCTAATATATAAAGTTTTCTGTCGAATTTTTTTTTTTTTTTTTTTTTTTTTTTTTTGAAAACAAACGATCGAGACTCAATAAAAAATTTTTTTTTTTAAACACGAAAAATGAACATAAGAGTTGAGCACAAGAATATTAAATGTGTGGGTGGGTGATTGTGCAATTGCTAGAATTGTATGAGCCGCGAATGACAACGAGAAAAACTTTTTAAAATGGATGGGAAAAAATTTTTTTCTAAAATGGAATATAAAATACAACATCGTGAACAACTGGACACTTTTTTTTTTTTTTCTCTGGTAACCACAGAATAAAAAAAATCAAAACCAACAAAAATTATATGATTGTGAAAAACTATGAAAACCGCTGCAACATACGCCTTTCAAGAGCAACAGAAATGAAAAAAATCATTTTAAACAACTACCCATTTCGTCCAATGAATTTTTTTTCAACATACACAAACAATGATGGTGAAAACAAAAAAAAAATTTTCTGGTTAATTACGCGGGTGAAATTTCGTAAAAAAAATTTCCATTTTGAATCAAATAAACTGGCCATTCATAATATGCATGCGCATACAGATCAGTAAACGAATGAAAGCAAAAAAAAATTCTGTTCATAATTTTATTCTTTTCTTAATTAAACACATTCGATGATGACATTTGTACAATGAGCAAAAAAAAAGAAAAAAGAATTTAAAGAAAAAAAATCAATAAAACGAAATTTGAAAATGATGAAAAAAAAAAAAAAAAATCGATTATGAATCTCTATAGGTGTGTGTGTGTGTGTGTGTGTGTGTGGGTCATTATCATCATTAAATATATGGTGGTCATATTTTTCATCCAATTTTTTACAATTATCCATTGAAAGAGACAAAAAGAAGATAATAAAAAAATATGATACAAAAATAACAATCGATCAAGCTTGAGAGAAAAGAAATCGAGCAAGAATAAGGTGAAAAGAAAAAAAAATTCAAGATCAATGATTGCAAATGTAATAACAATCGATAATCATAATCAGATTGAATAAAGATAATGAAAAAAAAAAAAAAAAAATTTAATGAGGCCTATATTGTTCCAAAATATTTTTCTGAAAAATAAATATGTTGTGTAAAATTGTAATGAAGAGAAAAAAATGGAGGAAAAAAAATGATTTTATTTTCGATTCAAATGATGATGATGATGATGAAAATTTATATTAAAGAATATGCGTGGTTCAAGTTTTGATGAAAAAAAAAATTCGTCATGAATTTGTCATAAATGATTGTGTTGAAGTGAAATAAAATTCTGTTTAAGATTTAAATAGATATTTATAATATATACGATATGGTATCACTGATTCAGAATCAAATTTGACTTTTTGAATCACTTTATTTGATTCAGATCTCGTACCGTTGGTTGAATCTTCATTGGATGATTTTTTTGTTGAATCAATCACATTGATTGTGGTCATAGTAGTAGTTATCGATGCTTGTTGTTGCTGTTCAATGGATGATGATGTTGTCGTTTGTTCGGAAATTTTAACCGATATTTCCGTTTTTAAATTTTCATCATTTTTAGCTTGCTTATTTACATCATTATTGCTCACTTCTTTTTCCAATTTTATATCAATATTTGATTTTTTTTCTATTAAAGGTTGCTTTTGATCTTGATCATCGTTATCGTTATAGTTGGCATTTTATCATCATCATTATTATTATTATTATTATCATTACTAGTTTTATCGTTGTCTTCGTTATCTGATTGATTTAAACGGAAATCAGTCGTGTCCTGTTCGAGTAACCATTTTTCATATTTGTATTTATTACTTTCGGTACAATTAGCATCGACCCAATCTGAATACCATTTATTGAATCGTTTAAATTTCGATTGTGATATCTTCTTATGACTCTGTTTTTTTTTTTTTTCATTATTTTTCGGATGTGCATAAGGTATGTAACGGGAAAGGATAAATGATAAAGCAAAAGAAAAAAATATTTTTTTATTGAAATTTTCCCAACTTTGTTAATGAATATTAAAAAAATAAAATCAATTTACCATTCTTGGTTTATCGATATTTTTCCGGTATAGTACAGTTTCATTTTGAACGAATATTAATGATTTGAAACGATGTATGTCAAATTCACATTCATTATTGGCTTCCGTCGTATTTTTCGTCTTATCTTTATCATTATTAGTAGAAGTATTGGTCGTTGACAATTGATTTTCATCATCACCTCTGGTGGTAATGGTGGATTGGTTACTGTCCGATATCGTATTTTTATTTGCCATTTTCTCATCATTCGTACTATTTGGACGATTAGTATTTGTTTCCTTATCAGAACTGTTGCTAGTTGAATTGCTTTCTTCATTTGGTTTCGGAGATTGTTGCTCAACTTCATTAGAATCGCTATTCATTTGGGTAATAGGATCAAATGATCCCTTATGTTTACGGACATATTTTTTCAAAAAAGGTGGATTTGTACGAAATTTTTCCACTACCAATTCATTCACTTTTTGTTGTTCATTCATTAAACATTTTTCTCTTTCTTTAGCAGACATGTTTTTCGTTGTTGATCGTAATGTACGCGACGATTGAGGTATATTTGAATCTTCATCACCATCGTTGGTTGAATCTTCATCTTCGTCATCGTTTGATTCTAATAAATCAATGGTAATTTTACCTTCACCTTTATATATTACAATTTTATAACGATTATCATCAGGAATTATTTGTTCGATATTTTTCTGATATAAATACTCAGCTTCGGCTCGTTGATGAGCAGTAATACATAATCCGCCAGCTGATCCTGATTTACAAGCTTCAAGATATAATTCTGTACATTGTTGACTGCAATCATCAACGACGATATGTTGAAACTAATAGGAAAAACAGTGAATATTGATTTAAAACAATAATATAACAAGATTAAATACCTGTCGGACAATATTTTGTACAACTTTGTCCAAAGTAAAGGCAATGTATGCATGAATACTAAACATTTCTCTCAGGTTATCTTCATATTGGGTCGAATCAAGATTTCCATCAAGTACTTGTTTGATCATATCAACCAAAGTGGCAAAATAATTTTCAACTTTTACATTAACTAAAGAAAAGAAAAGAAAAGAAATTAAAAAATTGACTGATGCAACATATATAGCTACTATATATAATACATACGATTATTTCGTAATCGAAGTAATATCGATGGCGATGAATTTCGAGTTTGATTTTCTTTAACCTCTTCAGCGGCAATCTGTTGAGCACGTTTATGCATCTTGCTCAGTCGTTCACAGAGAATGTTATGTAACCGGAAAAACAAATACCAAAAATTGTTGACGAAAAATAATGAATACTCTTCATCTGGATTTGAATTAAACATTGGCTGTGGTTTGATTTCAACTTTTTCATTCTTGCTCAAATCACTGTCTTTTTCCAATTTGATGTTTTCTAAAAAAAAAATTCAAACGTTTAATTATTGCAAATTACATTCGAAATCACAATTCACTTACCAAGAAGAGTTTTAGTTTTTTCGTTTTTAGGCTCATCTTCAATTTCATCATCGGATAATTCACCACGCGGTGTGGCAAATAGGTCTGGAATAAAATGCCTCATTAATTGCTTTATTTTACGCTTATCTTCTTTATGTATCGAAGTTTGACGCTTCACATGATGAATGATTAGATTACAGGCGACATCTATCATTGATTTATCAGGATAAACAAAAATCATGTGTGGCATTTGCAGTGTGTCGGATTTTCGATCATCTGATTGACATGTATCATTCATGTTACCGTTACTAGTTGAATGTTGTGATGACCATTGTTCGTTTTGTGAAGATTGTTGTTCATTTTGGTCACTTCGTTCTTCGGCAATATTTTCGATTTCGGTTAACAATGATTTTGATCGTAAAAATTTAATATCATTCTGCTTGAAGCTGATCCCTTGATGATCCAATGATTTTAAATAATATTTTTCATTTTGTTCTCTCCAATTTCGATTAAATTGTTTTTGTGCGTCTCTCCATTCTTCATCTTTTGATATAAGACGCCGTAAAACCAATGGTATGACATTTGCAGGAGAATTTTTGATTCCTACACAAATGAAAACAAAGGATAATACCATATCATTCAAAAAAAAAAAATTAAAAATTTGACCTACCTTCAATGACGTTGACAGAATTTTCACCATAAATTCGACGTATAGAATTTATGTGAATAACATGCGAACTACCACCCAGAGTATCATCAAGTTTGAAATTACTCTTTTCTTCGGGAGACATTATTTCCATTTTTCTTTGAACGGATTCTAAAACTCTAATGGTCGAAAGATTTGTTTCGATAATGAGATCAAGTTCATATCGTTCATCTTCACAACGATAAACATATTCTTCATATTGAGTTTTTCGTGATGACACAAATGTGGAATCTTCAGACCATGAAGGAAATGATGCAAGTGTATCATTCAATACTTCACGACAAAGTGGTGTACGACCAGAACATTCTTGTTTAGCACTGGATTTTGGTATGGTTCGATATGATACACCATAACGTTTACAAGAAGCAAAATCCACCTCAGCAAATTCATTATCTCGACGATCACGAAATGATGCAATGCGATTACTGAGACCTTCCAAATGGCCTATACTACTGTTAGCATACGAATTCGTATGATATGATGAATTACTCAAGTTATTCATGTATGGATTATTGTACAAATTATAGTAGAGATTATGGTTCTGAAGATTAACAGAATTCATTGCTAAACTTCCTTCTTTGATGTTTAACATTTCTTTGAAACGTTTATATAAATCTGGACATTGTGAAAACAATGGATGAACAAGTTGGGCAAGCTCAGAACGATTTACGATTTCATTGTTGAACAAAATCAAACAACGTAAGAATGTTTCATAATTGTATGGAGAATTCATTGCCAATCGTAACTGTATTCATAATAATCAGGATAATATTGAATAATTTAGAATTAAAATCAAAACAGAATGATTAATAATAATAATACCTTATCAAAGAAAGCATATTCAACAAGATCTCCCATATATTTTCCAGCTTCAGACGTAGCTGATTCACGAAATGGTGCCAATTTGGAACGCTAAAATTTGTTACACAAAAACATTATCAGTATTTTATAACAAAAAAAAATATGGTTGACTAACCTTAAACGTTACATGTGTGGAATTCGATTGTTCGATTTGATTGTTTGATATTGAGCGCTTAGGCGTACGATGAAACGTGTTTGGAAAAGCATTCGGTGTATTTGTATTCGCAATTGAAGTTCGATTTGGAAGAACAGAATTGGTATTGATTACGCTAATTGTTTTTTTCGATGTCATCGAATTATGTTGTTCGTGACTGATAGGAATTGTTTGGCTGGATGGTTGATGGGTATAATTTGAGCTACTATGTTCTAGATTAGCTTGATGATGTTGGCCATATTGATTCATTGATGATGTTGTCGGATTCGCAGAATTTTGAATGCTATATGATGCAGAAGAATTAATTACATTATTATTATTATTATTATTGTTGTTCATATGATGATGTTGATGATGATGAGAAGTGGCGTTTGTAGCTTGATTTTGAAGTAACGTATGTGGACCAACAGCTCCAACAGTACTGCTGCCGCTTGAATTGTGAGCATCGGGCAAAAATTGACTGAATTCTTGCAATAAATCAGGTTGATTCTCAAACAATTTAGAAACTTTGCTAAATACTTCTGATTCTGTTAGAATTTTTTGCCCAGAATTATCCTGTTCTTTTTGATAACTTTGTAATATGTCTAAAAATTGTTTGTAAATTTCTGGCTGATCAAGAAAACGATTTTTAATCTTATTGACATAATTAATAGCATGATTAAATTCGACCGGTCCACTTCCAGGTACACTACCGGCATTTTGTTGTCCAGCATTAGCTAGATGATGATGTATGTTCGTAGTTTGACCGCGAGAATTTGAATCAATATGTCCAGATGATGATCGATGATTGTGACTTGTTGTCGATGATTCAATACGATTTTGGTTGAATGAAGAAGCATTCTGGCTTGTTGAATGTGGTAAGGCCGTTGTCGATGATAATGATGCCAAGTTTGTTGTTTCATTTCGTGGTGGAACAGAATTCACAAACGTATTAAGTGGATGATGACTGGGCGGGCCACCATGATGGAGGCTTTGGTTTGAAGATGCTATCGAAGGACTTCTAACTAAATTGCTTGGTATCTGATGAATATTTTGGCTTGAAGCAACAATTGCATGACCAACAGGAGTTGTAGCAGCTGATATCGATTGTTGTTGATGCGTCGATGGTGTTATTGGGGTATTTGACATCAAAACAACATTGGTTGAATTTGGCATCGATACATTCACCTGATCATTTGAATGAATTTCGATCTTATAACCCGGAGGTAAAAATGTATTGAATCCGACAATCAATTCTGGATGACCTTTGAAAAGGTTTGAAACACGTTGTATAACGCCGGGAGTATCGATCGATTGAGATTTAAATTCTTTCATTATGTCCAAAAAATCATTATATACTTGTGGTCTATCATTGAATTTGAATTTTACTTGATCCAAATAGGAAAGTGCATCTTCAACTTTCAATCTCTGAAATTGTTGCGGTGCCGATTGGGATGGCGTTGTTGCCGATGGCTGAGACGAAGGTTGCACTGAAGAGGTAGATAAATTAATCGTCGATAGATTTGTTGGTTGTTGTGGTTGAGATGACGGTGTAGGTTGTGATGACGAATTTGGATGATGTTGACCTATTTGATGGAAAATGGCACTATTCGGCGTTGCTGTATTCGAATTTGGATTAGTATTTGGACCAGTTTGGACAAATATGGGCGCAGTCGTATGATGTTGTTGACTGTTTGAATGTGATGAAATTGGCTGCAAAGTAACCGTTGTTGTACCAGGCACACCGGTCACTGAAACATTACTTGTATTGATTACAGTCGCTGTCGTAGTTGAATTCTGTTGAATGGTTGCATGTGATTGCTGATGAGGATGATTCGATGTCGTTACCATATTCGTATGAGCAGAACTATTCAAAAGATTCTTCTGTGCAGTAACTGGGTCTTGATGAATGAATAAAGCATTAATTGGTGTACCAGTGGGTGGTGGTGGACCAGCGGAAGTACCAATGGCAACATTAGTAGCTTGAAATCTTTGTCCAATTGGTATTGTGGTCATGGTAGGTTGAGCTTTTAGAACAGTATTCGGTCCAACAGGAATTGCGGTAACTTGTGGATGACCGCCAGCGGTACTAACTGTGGCTCCAGTAGGTAAAATGGTTGCCGTACAAACTACCGATGATGGACCAGCGGTTGTAACACCTGTGATTGTCACCGGATGCATTATAGATGTTGTATTTGCTACAGCATTTACAGTTTGAATTTGAATACCATGATTTGATGTTACTGTTGCCGATGTTGGTTGTTGTTGAGTCGGTGGTGTTTGATTCGATGTTGATGTATTATTGAGCCTTGATGTTGTTTCATTTGTGGCCGCTGTAATAATTGTGGCTGGTAATGAAATGGTATTTGGTTGATGTAAAAGTGCGGTAGGTTGATGCGTTTTTATCGTCGTTATATTGGCTGTTAATGGTGGTTGTGTTGCACCAACAGCACCAACATTGACGATACTATTGGCCGTCACATTTGCTGTATTCATATTGACTTAATTTTTATTTTATTATCATCATCTCTTAGTTCTATAACCATGAAAAGAAAAACAAACGATTAGTAAAAAAAAACAATTGTCATTTTAGATAAAATAAAAAAAATTTAATTGATTACAAACACGAAATTTATTTATCTGAACATTCAAAATGTTCAAAATTATTATTATTATTGTTTTTATTATATTTTGATTTGATGGTGGTGGCCGAAAAAAATGGAGACAAAAACACACGACGCCAACGATGATGGTAGCGGCTATATGATGATGATGATGATGATGATGACTACGGCAACACGATAAAAGATTCTTTAAGAGAAAAAAAAACTTTTGAAATGATCGAGTCTATTTGGCTGGTTTTTTCTTTTCTTTTCTTTTCTAGGCTAATACAAAATATCAATCAAGAGAATGCCAGCCAAATGGATGGATGATATTATTGGATGGATAGAATGAAGAAAACAAAAAAAAATACAAATGCAACAAAACAGTTGTTGGTAGTCGCAATGATGATTTTTTATTTTATTTTTGATGGCTTGTTTTGTATATTTGGGATTTATTAGTCGTTTTTTTTGGTTGTGGTGGTAGTAAGTGGGGGGTTCATTGGATGAATCGAAACATTAAACGAGCCAAAATACAAAAAAAAAAAAAAATATCCAAACGAAACGAACGAACGAATCGTCTTGTCGTCGAAAGATGCTGAAGATATTACCAAAAGTATATACAAAAAAAAAAGAGCACGCAAGCAACAAAACTTGAACCAACACAACACACTTACATATAAAAATAAAAAAATGAATTCAATTCAATTCAATCAATGTGGAAGATAAAGTCAAATATACATACATCCATTGATTATTACTTCTTTATACATAGCTACCACTACCACATTCATTATTACTACCACCACCACCACCACCACCACTAACCACTACAACCGATTGTGGTCAATAACAACAAAACACAACACACACAGACTTAGAAGGTAGAAGCAAATTTTTCTTAATCAACCAGGTTTTTTTTCAGAAGTGAAACAAACAACTATCTCTCTATCTCTCTCTCTCAAAGAATGAATGAAATAAAACGAGCGAAAATTTTTTTTTTCAACTAAAACAAAACAAAAAAAATAACGCATGCGCAACAAAAAAAATTTTTCTTTGGATTTATAACTCATAACATAACATATAACATATAATAATTCATTATGGCTGCCATGGTGGCTCTGCTCGTTATGCGCGGTAAAGTTAAAATCGATCGATACTACGCAAAATCAAAATGATGGAAATTTTTTTTTTTTTTTTTTCATTCTTTCATTCTTTCAATAGGGTCAAATTTTTTTTCAACACTCGATGGCGCTACTTTTGTATCCCGCCAATATATAATAATCAATGGTAGTGGTATATAAATAATAATGATGATGATCATCATCATGCTTATTGGGTTGGCTGGTTAGCATAGTAGTTCCTCTTTCGATATATCATGATTTTTTATTTTGGCCATGGTTAAATTTTTTTTTGGCCATTTCAAATTGGAAACCATTCACCATCATCATCATCATCATGCATGATACAACCTGATATCGTACTATAGTGGTGGTGGTGGTGGTGTGCAAACACCATGGTCTTTCAATTGGTTTCATGAATGATTTTCGAAAATTTTGCGCATACTCGCAATAGATTTCGGAAAAGTGTAAGAAAGAAAAAAAAATTACAAAAGAAAAATAAACCCGAAAAATATTACGGACATGGCTACACACACTTCGATTCTTTCATCGTTCATCTTTATCTTCAACAATTAAGCCTTTCATTTTTATTCTATTTCAGCGACGAAAAACAATATATAGGCGGCACTCATAAGTCTCAAAAATTTTGATTTTAAATTTTTTTAATTCACTTTTACAAAAGATGTATATTGGATTTATTTTTCATTTGTTATATATTAAAAATCCTTTCACAATAATAATAAAATGAAGAGAAAAGCTACAAATATAGTTAAGATGAGACATTTTGCTGTTATTGTTTGATGTTTTTTTTACTCTTTTTCTCTCTCTTGTTGAATAAGATGGTTATTGGAAATTTATGTGGTCAGTTCCAGAATAGCATTGACAATATCATTATCATGATTACGTAGAGCTTTTATGGCTTTGGTTCTTGTAACACCAGTCTGTGATATGACCAATTCAATATCTTTCTCTTCAATACCGGTCATATCAATTTCACCTTCTTCTTCTTCTTCAGGTATTGTTGCTGTAGCAATATTTTCTCCAACAGTTCCTGGTTGACCATCAACACCTGAAAGACCAGAACCAATTCCTTCGGGTGCTTTGAATTTTTCTGCAGCAGCCATCTGTGCTTTTTGGCTAAGATCTTCAATTTTTGCCTCACCAAATATAATATAGGTATCACTTGCAGGAGATTTATAAACATCTGGTTTGTTGATAACAAAAAGAATGTTTTTGATTTTCTTATGGCCACACGATTGATACCCGGTATCTATAGATATATAATTGACATATATCAATGGCAAGGTAAATTTATTTGCATCAGAAATGTCATACCAATTTAAGACCAAGCTTTGACATAGCTTTACGGGCCTTTTTTTCACTACGAGATTGTTTACCCTTTGAACCAGCATCATCCTGTGATAGAATATTGGCAGCAGCAGCGGCCAAATTTTCATCCTTTTGTTCTTCAGTACCTTCACCAGCATCAGATTCATCTTCAGATTCTTCAGATCCACTTACTATATTCAATATATATATGAAAATGAGATTAATAATAAAATTTAATTTCTCTTTATTATAAACATACCTTGATCTTCAATTTTTACCTCTTCTTCTGGTTTCTCATCGACAATAGTTTGTGTCATTTTTTTTCTAATAATTTAATATCAAAAATTTGATGATTGGTACAAATAGATAGTCGTGGTTTAACAGAGAAAATCGAATATAATTCGATGCGTGTTTGTAATATTGTGTGCTCACAAAAAAAAAAAAACAACCACGCTGCCGGACGAGAAATATTGCCTGTAAAGTGCATATATAAATGCAAGACACGCCTTTTTTTTGAATTGCATCAGTAAAAATCGGAAATGTTTATTATGTATCCATTCTGCCATCTAGTGGTATAGCATATAAATTTTTTTTTTTGAAATTAAAAAAAAATCCAATTCAATCAAAATCAGTATGTGTGATTGGTTTGGAAAAAACAAAAAAAAAAGAAAAAAACCAGAAACTGAATATAGAGATTAAACTTTGGATCAACAACAAAAAGAAAAGAAAAGGAAAATAAATTATCATAAATGGAATGTTAGAATATTGTCACAAATCTTAAGCTGCTTTTATAAATTAGGAAAAAAAACGATTCTAAAATATCGCAATTTGAATCTGAATGATGATGAAAGAAAATTATGTATTATCAAAGGAATATTCCAATTCACTTGATGATCAAAATGATAATGATGATGACAATGTGCAACGAATATTATCATTCAATTAGTGGACCAGTTTCAATCTTCCATCTCTTCCATACGACAATGTATGGTTGTATCAACCACTTCTAAGCTTCCATAATCAAGTTCTTTGATTAGACAAAGTACAGCTGAAAGAATATTGGCATTCTAGAATTTTTAAAACAAAAAAAAATATTCAATAAAATGGAATCATAATTGATAAGAAGAAAACTTACTCGATTTCTACCGCCTTTAGGCAATATTCGTTGTTGTTGTTGTTGTTCACGATTTGATGTTGATGAAGCACTTTGTAGATTTGCACGTGTAGAATTCACATTAGGCATATAATATGATGATTGACCAGTATTATTATTATTATTATTATGCAGAATATTTTGTCCATTTTCATAACCATATTCCATTGGCTCATAAGGATTTCCTGATAAGGCTGGCGAAGAACAACGGAAATTGCCTTTTTTCCACCAAAAAAAAAACAATAAAAATCATGGTAATACTTAATAAATTATTACAAACAGATGACACACTTACCATTTGTACTATAAATATTATAATCGGATAAAGAATTTGCTTTTGCCATGTTTGTCTTTTTATTATTATGATGATTATTATTATTTGGACTAGCCGATTTTTGTATGTTGGCCTGTGGAAGATGATGTTGTAGGTTCGATGAACTATTATTACCACCATTCATCATCGGTGTTGGTGGTGGTTGTGGCTGATAATTATTACGATTTCCATTCGTTGCTGATGTATTATTATTATTGTTACCATACAATGATGATGATGATGATGAATTGATTACAGAATTAGTGCTACCATTTTCTGAACTACCACTATTATTCAATTGTTGTTGATCAATATATCCACCAACATTCATCGATGATTGCTGTTGTTGATGATATTGTTCATTTGTTTGTTGCTGTGTCAATCCATTACTTAAGGTAACTGTTTGGCAATTACTACTGTTACTGCTGCTGCTATTATTGCTATTATTGGACACTTGTTCCTGATATAAAACTGGATACGATGATTTTGTTTCTGAATAATTTCTTGACATATCATATTGGACATTGCCACTTGTATTCTCAATAATTTCATCACCAATATCGTCCACCGTTTCCGTTCCAGGCCATATTAATTCTCGACCTAATTTTTCTGCTTGATATAATTCTTCAGCAGTTACTCTATATGAATATAACAAAATGATTCAAGATTAATAAACAAATTATATTTAAAACAAAACTTACTTGACATTATCCAGAAATTCTAAATTTGGCAATGCTTTAAGTATGGTCAAACGATAATTATCAACATTGGTACATGGATTATCTTCCAATGATAATTTCTTCAAAAATTGTAATTGTGATAGATGAAGAATTTCGTTAATATCTTCAATTTCATTTTTTCTTAAATACAATTCCTGTAACAATGTACATGATGCAAAATATTTCAATGTATCGATTCTATTTATAGATAAAGAAATAACTTCAACATTAGGCATTCGATTCACGATAGACACATCTTTCAATGTACATCCCCTATTTATTATCGGATGCAGTGGTGGTGGGTGGGAAAATGAAAACAAAAAAAAAAAATGATGATGATTATTATTTTTAAGATTAAATTGTAAAAATTCAAACAACTCTGTTTGTGTGTTTGTATAGGTCAAAACATCAAATTCAATGATCAGATATTCGTGAATTGAAATAATAAATAGATTTTTTGCTCAAAAGATCATCATCCTATATCGAAGGCTTGACCGATCTTCAAAAATGGACTTTGGCATTGGTCGTAAAAGTTTTTTTTTCTATTTCTAGTGGAATGAGAATTGAGAAAAAAAAATATAGGTGAACCACACACACACACACACACACACACAGACAAACATTAAACCTGATGATGATTGCCCTGCACAACGAATGTTGGCCATAGAAAATAACGGTTATTAATAGAAATAAACTTGACATGATAATGATGATGGCTGGACAGATTATTTTTCCCTTCAACAATTCTAGCCTAAAGATAGACTCTCGATCTTTTTCTATAATCAAATCCGTCGATTAGATAAGATGGTTATTCCTTTCTTTCTTTCTTTTTTTTGGCTAAAAGATCAACACTTGCTGTTATATTTATCATTGATAATTATGCCCTAACGAAAATGAAAAAAAAATCAATCGAAAGGATCAAGTATTCATGATCTGACAAAAAAAAGTAACGAAAAAAAAATTCTTAGAAATCATCAATGTATAATATGGTTGGCTAATCAAGAGCAACAAAAAAATTGACACGAGAAGCTTTATTATAATGAAAGAAACATGTAGATTCATTTGTTGAAATCATCATTTCATCTACTACAAGAAGAATAAAGGATTGATTGATTGATTGATTGATCAATATAAAGATCGAAAGTTTATTTAATTAATTGACCTATCTGAGATATAATAAATACCACTTACCAGCAATTAAGTTTTTTCACTGAATTCAAATCATGAGATCGTGTACGTACAAGTACAACATTTTCCGTCAACACTGAAGACATTTTTTTTTATATATAGTAGATTTTTGTTTTCTGACGATGAAATAATGAAAACACAATTTGATGTTTGTGAAAAAAATGATGATGACGATGATGACGATGAAAAATTAAAATGACAAAATCATTTAAAATGGTCGGACAAAAAGGAAAATTTTTGTTTGTTTACTTTCAATGGTTGTCAAATTGGAAGAAAAAAAAATTTATGATGATGATGGTGGTCCTTTTTTTTCTCAAGTATGTTTCATCGTTCAATAAAAAGATAAGATTTCCAATTTTAGTTACATCAGGTCTAAAATCATGAAGAAAAAAAAAACACAAATAGTGTGGTAAATAAAAATGGCGATGGCGTATGATAATGGGCAATAGCAATCGAATGATCCTTGAATCCTACGACAGTATCCACATGCACAAATTGGACATGATGATGATGATTGATACCAATGTGTGTGTGTGTGTGTGAAGGAAAAATTTTTCAACAAACTAAATAGCCACTTAGATTTGATGATGAATTCGTTATGATACGATTGATAAAAATGGTGTGACAATCTGTTGAAAACAAAATATTTATACAGAATAAAATGAGACATCATGACAAAAAAAATGGAAAAAAAACAAACTCGAAACAACAACAATAAAAGATAAGAATCGACCAACTTACCCGACCTCGACACGGCCTTCGTGGCTAATGTTTTGATGATTTGATTGGTTGGTTTTGTTTGGTTGGTTGGTTTGTTGGCCGAAAAAAAAGAACTCTTCAGGACAAGAAAGACATCGATGAGAATATGAGAGAAAGATAGATAGAGAGAAAAAAGAAAAGAACAATAACAATCATATATGAACTAGAACGACAATGTTGAATTGATGTTGTTGATGATCACGAAGACGGTACGACTATATGTAAATCTTCGGGTATAAAAGAAATTCGAATACACACATACACAAACACACGCGAACATACACACTAATAGAGGTTTACTCAATGTTCAATAGTTTATTTTGAGTATCTGTTTTTCTAACCCGAAAAAATCTCTTTTTCTCCAATGATTGTTTTCGGTATATGTGTTGATTCATGGTATGAAAATGATGATGATGATCACATACAAAACATCATCATCATCATCATCGTTGTTGTTTGTAAAAAAAAAACTCGGTTATTTCGGCTATTGTGATTGAATCAACGAGGTAGAGGGTGAGAGAGAGAGAGGAAAAAAATTTCACATTTTATATTATAAATGATGAATGATGAATTATTCGTTTCGAGAATTTTGATGACAAACAAATGGTGATCACAGCCAAATTGTTGGTTATTTTATATATATGATCATTTCGATTTCTGACGAATCATTTAGTATATAAACACCGGATATATTAACAAACAATTAGTGAAAATGAAAAGCTGAAAATTACTAATCGATTTGCCTTTTAATCGTTTTGTTTGTTGTTTATTTTTCTGTTTAGGAAGCAAAAATGAAGTCAAACAAGCAATCTTCTTAGATAATTAAATCTATCTATCTATTCTATCTATATGTTATACAAATTAACAAAATCGCATGTCATCTGTCTATTTATCTCTTTCGTTGGCTCATTTTGTTCTTGTTTTTTTTGTTTGGAATGGTAAAATTTTCTCTATACTCATGACCGTTATATATGATGATGATGATGATAACGATGTATGCGCGTGAGTCTATTTACCGACGTCAATAACCGCTTTGTGATACAAGAAAAAAGAGAGAGAGAGAGAGAGAAAGCGATCCAGAACATAGCAAACAACTTGAGTTCTCTCTGTATCTGGAATCCTGGATACACACATATATGAAAAAATTTTCTATATATAAAATATGTAGTAGTATACAATATTGAGAGCAGCAGCCACCATAAATCCAAAAATGATAGCACAATCACGATAAGAAATACGGGGAATATTGACGCCCGATCTGATCACGATGATGAGTAATCATCATGAAGTTTGTATATATACTATCCACGCTAGCTTTAAAATTCCAGGAAAACCACAACTCAACACACACACACACCAGGCATCAGGCATTTTAGACGCAATATAATAAATGAGCCAGTATCCCACCATTCAAGCATATATTGAGCAATGTGTTGAAAACACCAGCCTATACAGTTTGGATTGCAACATCAAAACGAAATGAAAACGAAAATGTGCCACGATCGTTTTGAAAGTGAATGGTTTCACTGGTGGTTGCCATTAGTGATTTTTTTTGACATGTTCGTAACATAATGTCGTAATAACAGAACACCTGAATGATATTGAAATTTTTTTTAGTAGAACAATAATAACTATTTTTTTAATTTAATTTTCAATTTTGATTTTAAACGTTGTCGTGGAGTTGAATTTAATTGTTTTAAATTAATTAAAGTTTGACTGGTATTTCGTTTTCGTTTGATATTCAATCGTAAATCTTTACCAATCTGTTCGCTTAAAATTCTAAGATAACGTGGATCTTTCCATTCGTTTGATTCACGTTGAAATTTAGCATCCAATTCTTGTTGTCTAAGTTCACCATCCAATGGTAGACCTTCTTCATCACGGGGTATGATTTTTCCATGGAATGGACAATTTATAAGATCTCTTCGTGGACAAAGACGTCCCGATGGTAATAATGCTCGACATTGATTCTCGGCAATTATTGTTGAAGACATCACTTGTTGATTTTTTTCATTTTTATCTTGTTCCATTTTGGCTAACAAAATTTTATCTAAAAAAAATTCAATTTCAATTATATGCATTTATAACAAATTGTATAAAAACTCATTACCTTCGGTTTCGGCGACTTCTTCAAAATCATCTTCATCAAGGTCATCACTATCATCATTATCTACTACTGATGATGATTCTTCGATAATTTTAATATCATTTTCTTTGCTCAATATTGATACAATTTTCATTCGTAATTGTTTAATATCATCACCAAGTACATCATTGGCAAATTTAGAATGCGTTTCAAGAAGGCCAATTTTACGCCCAATATTATTCAATTCTTTACATAGCTCGTGGAGATTATCAATTATCACATTATTAGATTTATCACGGACGATTTCTATCTTTGAAACAAGTATGATATTGAATGAAAGGCCTTGCATTGGACGAATATTTGAATGATTGTCATTAGTTTGATTATTGCATTCATTATTTTCAATTATATTAATCTTTGGTATAAGTAATTCAAAACATGAATCAATTTGGATAATCAACAGATTGACATCATTTTCCAATTCATCGAAATCTTTTCGTAATTGTTCAATAGTTTCATTCGCAATTATTCGTTGCCATTGAACAGATGATTGTTGTACTGTGAAAGCTTTTTTCTCAATCAATAATTTATGATAATGGCTCAATGTAGGATAATCATCAGCAAATTCACTAAACCAATATTGAAAACGATCCAAAATTTTTGTATGCAATTTATTTGCCCAAATTTTTGGCCGTAATGATTTATGATGAGTCGATGATTGTTCAAGATTTTCTCGACCACTATTATCGATTCGGCTATTCGAAAGTGTCATATCCAGACAAAGTTCAAGTACATTTTGTAAATTTTCACATACAATCAATCGAAATAGACGTGAACGTTCAAATAGATAATCGATAATAAGAAAAGAACTATAACGAATTTGTGCATGATTCTGTTTTAAACGATGATAAATTAAACGATATAAATATTTGAAAACTTCATTATTATCACGTTCAGCTTTACAATATTTTTTGAATGTTGATAATTGTTTCCGATCAAGTTCTTCACCGCCATTTGTCGTTAATTTTTCGATCAATTCTTCGATACTCGTTGTAGTATCCATGTCAATGTTTGGATCCTAAATTTTTTTTCAGGATTCTCCCGTATTTGCATACCTCTTATATGAATGATTCATTTCGATGTTTTTTGTTTCATATTCATGTGTTGGGATAAAATTTTTTGAGTTTTATTCTGCAAATTTATTTAAAAAAAAATCTATATTAGATATAATAGATTTGTAAATTTATTGCAAACAAAAATGTCTGACGTTCGTGATATTCTCGAATTAAATCGAGAATCTGGTGAGAAGAAAATTGTGAAAAAGAAACGTATCCCCGAACAATCTGTCAAGAAATCCAACATTAAAGGTATGAACCGTGAGGTTTATGCTTTGTTGTGTTCCGAAAACAAAGATAGTGCATCGCTCATTCAATCGGATTTTGCTATTGGATCAAAATTTGGATTTCCACCTTTCGGCTACAAAAAGGTTAAAGCTAATTTAAGTCTTCGTAAAGTGATTAAATGGAATTGGGTACCGTTTACTAATCCGGCGCGAAAAGATGGCTTCCAATTATATCATTGGAGACGTGAAGCAGATAAAAATAAAGAATATCCATTTGCCAAAATGAATGTTGTCATCAACGTACCTTCATATACTGATCAAGAATATCAAGAATTATTACAAAGCAATGAATGGAACAAAAACGAAACTGATTATTTATTTAGCTTATGTAAAAAATATGATCTTCGTTTCATTGTCATTCAAGATCGTTGGGATACATCACAGTATAAATATCGAACAGTGGAAAATATCAAAGATAGATATTATTCTGTATGTGACATTTTGGCTAAACAACGTAACGAATCTACCGTTGGTAATAGTTTGAATGTAAAACCACAAGGCTATGTATTCGATGCTGAACATGAACGAAAACGTAAAGAACAATTAAAAAAACTATACAATCGTACGCCAGAAGAATATGAAGAAGAACAACAATTGATTGCCGAATTACGTAAAATCGAACAACGTAAAAAAGAACGTGAAAAGATTACCCAGGAGATTCAGAAATTAATTTCTACCGATAGTACTTCTGAACTTCGTAGACAAGAACAACAGAATCAAGCTCGACAATCGAATATATTATCACGTTCTAGTAGAAAGAAAACCAATTCTCAATTAAAAGGTTCTCGAATCAGCGATGTTGGTGCAAATTCATTTAATACGGTCAATATTGAATCGGCCGGTATTAAATTTCCAGATCCTAAAACCTGTGGCGTTTGGCTTCGTAGCTCTCGTATGAAATTACCATCATCGGTCGGCCAGAAACGTATGAAAGCCATAGATCAATTATTGAAAGAACTTAAAGTTGATCCACATCCAATGCCAACCGAAGAAATTTGTCGAGATTTTAACGATCTTCGTTCTGATATGGTCTTACTATATGAATTGAAAATGGCTCTTACCAATCTTGATTTCGATCTACAATCATTAAAACATCAATATGAATCGAATAATGTGCAGGTGACAAATGAAAAAACCGCACAACAACTTGTGCCCACAACGCCGTTAAGTGCTGTCAGTTTACCAGATAATTTGACCACTACATTCGGATCAGCCACTAGCCACCATCATACTAATCAATCACCAACAAAAATTGATGATATTTCTAAAAAAATATCCGAAGTAATCGATGTGACCAATTCAACACCACGTAAACGAAAAGCCGCTATGGAACAAGGGAATTTGATGAGAAAATTACGAAAGAATTAAAATTATCTTTATCATTTTTTATTTTTGTCATGACTTTATTCACATTATCCATCCACCCATAGTTTATAATTGAATCAATAAACATTTATTAAAGACAAAACATTTATAGTCTTGATTTCTTTTGTTAGTATCACTCTTTAATTCGATTATAAGAATTTATCATTCAATATGAACACTGTGATTGCAGCAATGGCGCCAAACAAAAATGTCATCAAATAACCGAATAATTTGCCAAAATTAATATCGTCAATAAATGTTCGTCCGACTAGCATTCTCAACTTTTTCAATTTGCTTTCGTTGTAAGGTGGATATCTACAACTATTTTGATGATAAAACATTAATTAATTAATTAAATTATGAAATATGAAATGATTGATTTTTTAAATCCAAATACCTGGCTATTAATTCTATAATAGGATTATAATCTTTAATCATGACCGATTTTTTATGTGAAAATGCTTCGAATGAAAAACGGCCATGATAGTTTCCAATACCGGATGGACCAACACCTCCAAAAGGCATCTCATCAACTAAATAATAATTAAATTGTTAATCCAAAAAAAAGTTCATAATAAAAAAAAATTAATAAACTTACCAGTCATCTGAAGAATAGTTTCATTGACAGCAACTGAACCACTTGATGTTTCATTGATAAATTTTTGATAGACTTGTTTTTTGTTCGTAAACAAATACATTGTCAATGGTTTTTCTCCTCTTTTGATGAATTCAATTGCCTCTTCCACCGAATCAATCGTAATAATCGGTAAGATTGGTCCAAATATTTCTTCTTTCATTAAAGAATCAGAAGAGATCACATCGGTGACTATCGTTGGCGAAATGTATCGCGTTTCTTTATCGGTATCACCACCAATAACAATTTTTCCATTAGTAGAATTGATCAAATTCTGTAAACGATCAAAGTTTTTATCATTGATGATTCGGGCAAAGCTTTCAGATTTTTTTGCATCGCCTTCGAAAAAGTCTTTCAACACTTTGTTTGCAATGTTGATGAATTTCTCTTTCACTTCTTTCGTACAGAGTAGATAATCAGGTGCGATACAGATTTGACCACTATTCATACATTTTCCCCATAATAATCGTCGGACAGCAATTTCCATGTTAATTGAATCATCCATATAAACGGGACTTTTTCCACCCAATTCCAAAACGACTGGAGTTAAAAATTTGGAAGCCGAATTATAAACCATTTTTCCAATAGAAGTAGATCCAGTAAAGAATACCATATCGAAACGTTCGTTCAACATTCGTGTAGCTTCTTCAGGTCCACCAGTGATGACATGAAAACATTCACGATCCAAGTATCTTGGAAGCAATTCAGCCATCAATTTTTCACAATTTGAAGCTACCTCTGATGGTTTGATTATAGCACAGTTACCGGCCGTTATAGCTCCAACTAATGGACTCAATAATAATTGCACTGGATAATTCCATGCCGAAAATATCAACACAACACCATATGGTTCATGTTTAACATGACAATTGTCCAGAAGAGTTGCAACACCTTTCTTCTCTACATATCTTAGGTTTAATGTATTCACGAATATGTTTCAATTGATATTCAATATCCTTGGTGACAAAATCAATTTCGCTGATAATAGTTTCCATACGAGGCTATTATAATTGAGGAAAAATGAGAAAACAAAACAAAAAATGTTGCCAAATAAATTGAATCAAAAAATTTACCTTTCGAAAATCGGCATCCAAAGCTTTGACAATTTCTTCTTGATTTTCGTTCAGACATCTTTTCAATTGTTCCAATTGTTTGATACGAAAATTGATATCTTTAGTAATATTTCGATGAAAAGCATCACGTGCTTTTAAAAGTGCCTATGTATTGAGCAAAAAAAAAAAAAAAAAAAAGAAACATCATCGATTAGATGTCGTTACAACAAAACAATGATACAATTAAAGTGGACACATTAAGGTTTGATAAACACCTGTAGATAATTTTCAACAAAAGATTCACTATATGGTGGTGGTAGACTAGTGTTGTCATCTTGTTCCACCATAATCAAACAGGCTGAATCATTTTCACTGATTTGTCTGAAAAGTTTTGTCATTATTTTTTTTTTATCTCACACTATATGTTATCGAAGCGAAAAAAAAAAATTGCAATAATAAAATGAAATTAAAACAGTGTAGAATAATAATGATTCAGATGATGACGATGATAATTTGTATAAATTAAAGGGTTAAAATTATCAATAATGATAACGGTGGTAAAAATTCAGATATTGACATCGTCATCATAATCATTGTTGACGATTGCCGTATACAATTACAAGGAACAAGAAGAAAATAAAAATCTATTTATTTCCATTGAAAAAAAATATAGGAAACAAAAATATTAAAACGATGATGATGATGATGATGATGAACACAGCATAAATAGAAGAAGAAAATGGATGCTTATTTTAGCAATGATGTTGTACATTATTTTCTTCTATATGGTGGAAAAAAAATATATAAGAGAATATAACAACAAGAAGAAAACTATTCATTCGAATCGAATCGAAACGCTTGACCAAACCTGAATTGAATTTAAAACATTTGATGATGATAACGCGTGATTACACAGTTGTGTGTGTGTGTGTGTGTATACACATATAAAATCATTACGATGATGTTGATGTTTAAGAGAAGAAGAGAAAAAAAACAACTTAAATTTCATATACTCTTTAGATTTGAAGTGTTGTTTTTTTTCATCTTCTTTACAATCCTGTCCTGATCACAATCATCATCATCATCATTCATCTTTATAATCGAAAAACAAGAAACTTTACAATGCATCGAAAAAAAAGAGAGAAAGATTCAAATAAACGGAAAGAGAAGTGGCCATCACATTGGTATCATAATCATTTCAACAATAATTTTACCTGTAATCATCATCATCATCATCATCACCATTACCACTATCGTTTCTAATCACAGATACAAATGAAAATGAAGGAAAACTTCAGATAACAAGGATATCTAGGATTGCTCCACAGAGTTGTTGCCAAGTTTGCTGTCGTTTTTTTAAATTCAATTTCTTTATAAAAAAAAGAAAATTTATGGTACAAATAAATTCCATACATAGTGTGATCAATGATGATGATAAGGAAAAATTGTATTTTTCACCCAATTACAAATTCAAGAATTCATTCGAATCGAATCATCATATGCACATAGTTAGTTTATAATGGTGGGAAAAAAAATTCGAATGAATCATTATATCGATATAATCGATATATAAGTTAATCATCGTGATCATATAATGATGATGATGATGATGATGATAATTTAATTGAATCACGGAAATTTGATAGAAAAAAGAAACAATTATGAACAGGGAAATTTAAAAAAAAAATTATCATGATCAACAAACACACAGACCTGATTGAATAATATCGTTGTTGTTGGCCGATTATTATTATGATCATCAATTGCGATAATCATTTTTTTCCACTAATTAAATGGTTGATTGAATGAATGTACGTGAATTATTGTTCAAATTATATTGAACGTTTTATCAAGAAAATGACAAATAAATTGGAAAAAAAATTGAAATAAAAATTTCACCAACAAATAAAAGAAGAAGAATAGTGTCGATGATTAATCAAAGTATATAAGTGTTTTTATTGAGAAAAAAAAACTAGCAATCATTTCAATCAGAAAATATGATGATAATCAATCAATCTGACAATTGGCTGAAAATAATCGTAATCGTAAACATATTTTTCTTTTCCTTTTTCAAGTCTTTTTTTTCATGTGGTTAGTGGTTGCAACACCAAAAAAAAAAAACCTAAAATTAAAATTCAAACAAATCAGAAACAAAACAAAACAAACAAACAAAAAAAATTTCACCATTTTTTTCCTCCTGTGAATACTTGTGATGATGATGATTCGAATACACACTAAGTCACATAATGTGATGTGTTGGATCATGTAACAAAATATGGTGGTGTTTCAATGTTCACAACCAACGCACATATATTTTTATATATTTTTTTTTGGTTAACCACTTTTGGCCAAGATATCAATCGCATCATTCATCGATTGATATATATAAAAAAAACGGCATTGATATACTACAGTAGAGAACAAAACCAGGCGAACAAAACTATGAATTGATCAACACACACATACAAACACACACACACACACACTTTTATCAACATTGCCAAAAAAAAAGCATAAAAATAAAAATTCGAAAACGACAAAATGACATAAAGAGGGAATTCCAACAAAAAAAAAATTTACAAATAAAAATATAAAAAAAATAGTGAAGAAACATCCAGTTAGTTAGTCAGCTAGCTACCCTCAACATATATAGTTTAATTATTTTCATTCAATTTCAACCCTAATTTTTGGACATAAATTTCCTTTCTAGGGTCAACTAACCAGATTTGATCGATTATCATCAACATTAATTACTTTTAATTAATATTAATTTAAATGTTAATTTTTTAATGTGAAAAAAAATTTTTTTGATTATTATCACAGATATTTTTTTTTTTATTGTAGGCAAAGATGATTTCTATATACACATACCTTTTCAAGGACAGCGGCCATCTTCTTGTGAGATAATATTGAATTGAATTGATAATTATTGGCTACAAAAAAAAAAAAATCGAACGTCGTAACAAAATTCAGTGTTAGATCAATTTGAAAGAAAAAAAATTCTATCTGATCACACACACACACCTGATCGAATCAAACAATGACAGTTGAATGATGATGAAAAAATTTTTTCTTTTTCAATAATCTTATTATTAAAAAAAAAAAAAAATATGACATTCGGGTACATCAATAGAATGCGTTTTTTTCTCTGTTTTGATAAAGTTTAATTGAACAGAGACAAAAATCTACCACTACAAACCACAACAAGTTTACGGTACACTCAAAACACAAAAACAAATTATCATCACTGGCCAGAAAAAGTTAACGACAAAAAAAAAACTAATGCATTGATTTTTTTCATTTAAAGATTTCATATGTAAAAAAAAAATGAGTGCGTGTATTGATAATTGTTACCATCCTTTTTTTTTCTTTGACAATTAAAGCATGCGCGTTTATATTACACACCATATATCGATATATTGAATCACATGACAATGTTGGTTTTTTTTTGATTTTGCTAACTACCAAATTGAACACATCAGCCTTGATTTACAGATAAATAAATAAATTAGTATATGATCATCAATGTATTTATTTATTATGCAGGATGTCCATCATCAAATATGTCATAAATTTTAATATATCAAAACAAATGGAAAATTTTTTCTGTTTTTTTTTAAATCAGAAAAAACCTGAATTCGAATATAAAGTATGATTCTGTCTCAGAATTTATAAGAAAAAACAATAGATGTCTCTACTGTATTTTTGAAGATAAACAAAACCTGAATTTATCTCGACATGTCGTGATCAAGTTTTTTTTTTTTTAGTGGGTTCATATGTTTAATGTTGCATGATTTTGGTAGATTAATTGTCGAACTTGAACGAATGTCAAATTGCTTATTATTGAATGATATCATTATCGTGAATTTTCGATCGAATATTTTTCCTTTCTTTTTTTTCATTTTTGGTTGAAACTAAACTATAGAATAAAAAAATAGTCAAAATGGCTGCATTAGTAAGAAATTATTCGAATTTAATTTTGAATACTCATCGAAATCAATTTATTCGAGCATTGTCAACAACAGGTAGGTGAAATTTTATTTTGATCTGATCTGAATAAATCGAATTAATTACTATATATGAATATTAAATTACTATCCATGGAAAGCATATGAATATATCACGACTGAATTAAAAGGTGCCAAACAGAATGTTGGTCTTGTAACATTGAATCGGCCAAAAGCATTGAATGCACTTTGTGGTGGTCTTATGGATGAAGTTGTCGATGCTATGCAAAAATTTGAAAAGGACAAGAATATTGCCGCCATGGTGTTGACTGGTTCGGAAAAAGCATTTGCTGCCGGTGCCGATATCAAAGAGATGGTGGATAAAAATTTCGAACAGGTTACATTGGGTGGTTTCCTATCTCATTGGGACAAAATTACAGCAGTCTCCAAACCAATAATTGCTGCTGTCAATGGCTATGCGGTAATGTTTATGACCATAATGTTTTATCATTGATTCATATGTTTAATTGTACAATAGCTTGGAGGCGGTTGTGAACTATCCATGATGTGTGACATAATCTATGCTGGTGATAAAGCACGATTTGGACAGCCAGAAATTCTTATCGGCACCATTCCCGGTGCTGGTGGTACACAACGATTAACAAAATTTATTGGTAAATCTCGTGCCATGGAAATGTGTTTGACTGGTAATCAGATCAATGCACAAGAAGCATATGAATATGGTCTTGTAAGCCGTATATTTCCTGCCGATCAAGTTGTCGATGAAGCTATAAAATTGGCTGAAAAAATTGGTGAAAATTCTAAATTAATTGTTGCCATCTGTAAATCATCTGTTAATTATGGTAAAATTTGAAATTGAAATTTATTTTATTTTGCTACCATTAATCATCATTATTATTTGTCTTTAGCTTATGAAACTACGTTGAAACAAGGCTTGGAAACGGAAAAGAAACTTTTTTATAGCACATTTGCAACGGTAAGTATTCTTGTGAAATTAAAATCGGATTAATTAATTAAAATTTTTCATTTCAATATAATCAACAGAACGATCGAAAAGAAGGCATGTCTGCTTTTATTGCGAAACGAAAACCCAACTACACTGATTCTTAAATGAATTTTATTGTATTGTATTCAATGATTATAGTTGAAAAAATAAATGGTTAACATTTTTTTTTAATGATGATTACAATTGTTCAAATTATTTTATTATGATTATGATATTTAGGAAATGTTAACATTGGCTGCAAGTAAATAATTTTGCAAAAATTTTGCTGCATCCGGTGACATTGATGAAATTAATGTAGATATTTTTCCAGGATAACGGATTGAAAGCTGATGAAGTTTTTGTGCAAGATATAATTTTGGTTGTCCAATATCTGCAATTAAGTTCAATTCTTGATTTGTGGCAAAAACTAAACGCGAATATGAGGCCTGATAACCCATGTTCATTTCTTCAATTTCGACAAAATGATCATCAGCTTGTTCGGTTTTATCTTGTGGTAATTCGAAAACAGCAATTAAACATTGTAATAATGGTGCCCACAATGTAATCAAATCATCTGTTGTCGAAAAGAATTGATCCAAATCGGTCAATATATCTGTCATACCGATACATACTGTATTTCGATCAATAACACCTGTTACTTTTTGAGCATCGACAATGAATAATTTTTCCAACACCATACGAAACAATTTGTTTTGTAATGATTCGAGCATTTCGTAAAACATTTTGACACCAAACTTGTGTACGAACAAACTGAAAAATATCAACAATGAACGAACATATTTGATAGTTTTGGCGTGCGTTAATCGTTGAAAAAGAATAAAGAATATTTGTTTCATCATTGGCATGATTGCCGTTGAATCAGCAAATACAATTAAATAGTCAATAATTTTAAATGCAAAATGATCACTTGATTTTGCTGAGATAAGCTTCTGAAATACACCCAATAATGGTTCCAATTTTCTAAGATTGACAATTTCTTTGGAACAACATTTCACATATGATTGAATCAAACGAGTTAACGGTCCGTAATTTGCCGGTCGTTCCCAAAGTAATGGTACAAGAAGAAAAGGAAATAATTCCATGTATGGGCCAGGTACTGGTTCTGTTTTACCATAATTTTCTAGCAATAAAGCCAAAATTTGAAAAACATATGGAGTAAATTCTTGAACATCTTGAACAAGTATAGTTTGAAATATTGGAAATAAAACATTTTCAAAGCTATGAACAGAAGCTGTGCTTTTAGAACAAGCGATTCGTATGGAAATGCTAAGTGTTTCGAATAGATAATGATTGAAATTAGGCTTGGATGGATTCTTGGCAACATGCGCAACTTTTTCAGTCAATTTCGGTAATAAAACACTGAAATAAGGCAATAGTTGTTCACGAAGCAGACTGAATACACGTAATATAGCTTTGATGGAATATTCATTTTCCTGTGAACCAGAAAATTGCCAAACACCAAATAAACCTTCGAGAAGTTGGAGAGAATGTTGGTTTATATTTTCCGGCTTGATCAAAGGTATTGACATATTGTTCGGATCGCGAAGTGTTAAAATTTTTTCAATACAGATAGCCGAATAACTATGAATGACGACAATAGGTGATGATAAATGACGGATAATATGCGGCATCATGGCCAAAAGAATTTCATTAACAGGCAATTGATTTCTAAAGATGATAATGTATTTAAGAGCATCGGTTTTCAGAACAGGCATCTCATTGATTTCTGGACGTTCAAGATCAGTACGAATGACATTATTAAAAAAACTGGAAATATTGATCAAATCCGATGTGCTTGTGGTGCCTAATCGAACAGAACCACCTTTGACAACCAACGATGTGACCAGATAAATGGCAGCATTTTTACTTTTCCAATTTTGTTTTGGATTTTGTGAATAATTCATTAGCATTGTTTCAATATATTTACTGAATACTTCAGTCATAATTTTTTCAAAATGTTTTGCCAATGCTTTCACTAGATCACAAGCGGCACGTCGTCTAGTCTGTACATCGGCACCTTCAACATCACGACGTATATATTCTTCTGGATTATCTTCAAACAATTCTTCATCCGATTCACGAAATTGCATATTCGGTATAATAACTCTGGAACACATTTGTTGCAAGATTTGTTCTTTCTCAAAGATTTCTTTATGAAGACCACGATCAGCAATAATGCATAAAAATCGTATAGCATTCGAAATCAATATATCGTATTTGGCTTTAGTATCCAACGAATCTAACAATGTCCATACTTGATTTATAAATCCAGGTAGATATGGATCAAATTCTTCATTATATTTTTCAGCAAACATGGCAATATTTTCACAGATTTGACTTTTAAGACTTTCAAGAACACCCATTTCTTCATCACTATCTGTTACCAATGTTTCTGCATTCAATTGTAATAATTGAATAAAATTTGTCATCCATACATTCATATTATCTTCAAAAAATTCGGCTAAATCTTGTGAATTCAAGCTGAAGAATATTTCCGAACAATACACTAACGATTGCATTATCACTTGTATGTTTTGCTTATTATTAATATGTTCAGGTATCAATTTGACGATCCAAACGAAAAGCTCAGTGAATGTTTTGGCAAACGTGTCGAGAACATATTTAATTTCTTGCCATAATTTGTCCGATTTAGCTTCATATTGATATCGTTTGAATAGAGAATCCACTGTTTGAAGTATGCCGGTGATGATATTAAAATTATACTGCTGACAACTTTCATTCAATTTGACCATCATATTTTCAAGTAGATTTGGCCATTTTTCCGGAAAATCAGCTTTACCAATCAAACTAACAGCTTCGCTTAACTGTTTCTGTATCTTTTTATCACTGTTCAACATTAGATTAACAATTACATTTTTACAATACATTCGATCATTTGCATTGATCATGTCAACATCATCATCATTGGATACGGTCCAATATTTTTTGATAAAATTCTTGAATGAAATAGCAGCACAAAGTTTGACAGTAGCATCAATATTAGGACGTTCAATCAATTGAAGTAATTGTTGGCTATAACCAGGTTTATTCGAACAAGATTCAATGAAATTTTCTGCCGGCTTTCGAACATTGATATCGTGTGACAATGTCTGCATCAGACAATTGATTAATTGTTCAATATTGATCTGCTGTCCATTTGATGATGCCATAATGGATTAGTGGATTGTAAAACGGTCCAAATGGTAAAAACTTTGGTGATGATGATGATGATTTGTGAATAACAATAAATGAACTTTTTTTCACATTTTCCAAGCATGCATTTTCAACAATGAAAAAAAAATCGAACAAAAAATCAGCCGTGTTCGAATGTATTATTCATAAACGACGTTTCGAAAATGTTCATGGACATCGATGTCAATTTTTTTTTTCGTTTTTCAAAAATTCAAAATTGATTGATCTTGAATTTGACAAAAAAAAAAAAAAATTTTTTTTTTTTTGATTCGATCAAATCAAATTTCATACATTCGACATACTTTTTTTTCCTTGCTCATCTTTATATCATTTCTTCAATTTGTCCATGTATATCAATAAAAAGTGTATTCAATTCATATATTATTTTGACAGCTACGGATTTTTTCCTTTGGGTACAAAAAAAAAATATCACATCTTTTGTCTTTAACATGATGAAATGATGTCCGTCAAATGTACTAATCGGTGACACAAAATCCAAGCTCATCATTACCCAAATTATACAAACGCTGAACATTGTGATTTGTAATCGGGCGTCATTGCAAGCAATAGCAATAACAAACAAACAAACAAAAAAAAGAAACATTTAACAAGCAGCCAAAGTGATCATCATAATATTATGATCATCACCATCATCATCATCATCATCGTGCTATTGGCCTATGGGCGTCACATGTATCATCATCAACAATCGATGTTGATGGAAGACAAAACTGGCAAAAACAAAACTTGTTGGATTCGATTTTTTATTTGGCTGCATGCAACAAAAAGGTATTCGAATCCAAAAATGACGCCAATAATGACCAAACGGTGGCGCTGATTTGATTTACTCTGCTTTTATTGCTGTTATTTTTTTTGTTGTTGATGATTGCTGTTTAGATTTTTTCCTCTCTGTGTGTGTGTGTGTGTATGTTTTTTTGTCTGTTTTCTGTGAATGTTCAACAATTTTATTACAAAAAATTTTTTTTTTTTTTTTTTTGGCAAATTGAGACTTCTGAGACTGTGTGTTATTTGCTCTTTATATGTTCAATACAACAATATCAATATATATTGTGTATAGATGCTTTGCATTTTGTTTTTTGTTCATATACATTAACACGCTCTTTTACAAAGAAAAGCATTGCATTGGGATCTCATCATCATCATCATCATCATCTTATGATCATCATAGCATAAAAAGCTAAGATAAAGAAAATTTTTTGAATTCAATATTCTCCAATCAAATTGAATCGCAATTATATATATTATTTTTTACAGCTGCTTAAAGATTCACATTCATTCATTCTTTATTATTATTATACGAGCAAAGTGGTTGAACGATCATCATCATCATTCTAATTCGTCTGTTTTGTTCGGCTTTATGTATATATTCAATTCAAGTGTGTTTTATTGTGCTGTATGCTGTTTCATCATTGTCAACGATTATCCGGTGTCTATGCGATTCATACGAGTATTGGATTTGTGATTCATAAAATTTTTTTTTTTTTTGAAAATTTTTAAACCAAATATACAATAATATAATGGCACAACGAAAGAAAACATCAACATTAACCGAATGGTTTTATATTGCTCTTTTGATGACGGCCATACGACCACCACCAGATCATCATCAATTGTCATCATTATTACCTTATCGGCGATCATTATTATTACCAAATTATCACCATTTTGGTATCGATAATAATCATAATGGACCGATTAGTGTTGATAATTTCTATCATCATGATGATATACATTTAAATGATTATTCACATGATCAACATTTTCGTACAAAATCTTCGATATTATTAAGAGAAACATTGAATATACTTGATGATTTAAATTCATTAGGTAGATATTCAAATCCCCATAATCATCTGGATCATCATCATAGTTCAAATTTAATTGCATTCCCCGTTAGCGGCGGATTTTCTTCCAATGTATTCATCAAACAGGAAAATGATGATGATGTTTGTAATAATAATCAATTATTATCGTCATCAAATGTTAATGTAAATTCAATCAATAATGATGACAATAGTTCACCATTATCAATTGATCCAGATATTTTAAATCAAATAGATTTTGAGGTAAATATTCATTCATTTTTCACTAAAATATATATATAAACTTTTATTTTTCATTTCAATTAGCTACAAAATTGTCCATTCAATGATGATACAATATGGCCCAATCTTAATGATGGTATGTCTGTGTTTATTTGTTTATTTATTTTCTTTGCTACCATCGAATAACATATATATAACATTGGCATCATAACATTGACATCGATCCAAATTATTTTTCATCGTTGAGTGTATGTTTATTGTGATGTAATTCTGTTAAATTTTGGCAATACACACACAGATGAAAAAAACCCTTCTTCAATGTAATTGTATATCGGTGTTGGTAGGTCGACCATAGAGTTACATGAATGATATGGGGGCCTCATCTTTAAAGAGTTTATTGGCATCAAACAACACTTACAATTGGTATTTGCATATACAATTGCATGTTTTTTTATCTGTCCTATTGATCGTAGGTTGTACAAGTATTTTCGGTATTGCCTTGAAAATATTCTTGTTAAGGATTAAGGATTCTGTAACTTTATTTCACATCAAAGGATTATTATATGATGATAATCATCATAAACCCGAAAAGAACATTGCATTTGAACATTCGATGCAAAAACAACCTACGTTCGAATTGGATTCTGGTTTCATTTTTTTTTTCATCGTATTGAACTCACATTTAAGTACACACCTAAAAACCAGTAGATAATACATTTGTCGTAGGTTTCTAATGTTAATCTTTTTTTCTATCTAATTAGTTTTGTTTGTCGGCCATGTTGTTTTTTTTTGGTAGAAAACTTTTCAATTTTTTATTGCTCAAATTGAAAATGAAATGATCTTTAAATATCAATGATGATAATCATAGCAACAGCATTCAACTAGAACAAACACAAAGTCTTTAATGAGGTTTTTTTTTTTTCTATTTTGTTTAGGTTTATGTAGGAGGAGTAGGTAGGTGTTTTTTCTTTAGATGATAATAATATTGCAACATATTTACATTCATAAACTGAGGTAGATGGCCTTAAAAAAACAAAAAAATTTTCTTGCGTAGGTAAAAATATATATATCGTTCAGATTGACAAAACTCTAATATTATTCTCCACGTGATATATATATAGTACGTGATATATTTTGTAATGTTTTGATGAAAAATTTTTTTTTTTTTGTAGATGAAATCGACGTCGATGTGTGTGTGTGTGTGAAGATCCTCTAAATAATTTCTTCTTTTTTTTGTTTCTCCCCCAATGTTCACACATATGACAATATATTATAGCAATTGTAATTTCAATTTTGTTTCTTCACATTGGCAAAAAAAAAACTCATCATTTAAAAGTAATGTTTTTTTAAAAGTGCGCTTCATTTTTTTTTGCTGCCTGAAAGAAGAAGAATATATAACCTCGAATGTGATTAGATTCATTCATAATGAGGAATGATTGAAATTGAAATGAAAAAAAAACCTTCGAATACAATGAACTTGATTGATGGTTATGATCATGATCAATGGATGGCGCTACAGATTTCAAATTTTTGAATTTTTTTATATATTTGATAAATCGAACAACAAAAAAAAAATGTTTACACCTGTTGTTGGTTGATCATTTCATTTCAATTCGATTAGATTTTTCTTTCTTTCATTGTTTTTGTCGACTAAATGATTTAGGATGTTATGTGACTACCTGTTTTTTTGTGTTTGTGTGTGTGTGTGATATAAAAATTATTATTATAAAAGATGATTCATTCATTCTATTCTGTTCTAATAATAATAATAATAATAAAATCTAATTAATTTGTAGAGAAAAAAATGGATATCAAATATAAGAAATTTGCACATGTCATCATCATTGTTTTTTTTATGTATTGACAATTTGATTGACCAGTCTTATATCTTAAAAAATGATAATGATATTGGCCAATTTTGGTGTTTGTACACAAACACAAACACACATAACATATCACTTTGTCATCAACCAAAGATATTATTATTTTCGATGTTTTTCTCATTCACAATGATTTGGCTATTTGTCAAAGATGATGATGATGATGAAACAATTAATATTTTGGTCATTAATAGCAAACCAAAAAAAAAAAAAAAAACAATAATAAAAAACAAATCATTTTCCTGTTTTTTTTTTTGGTTGAGAAAAAATTGATTTTTTTTTGCTCGCCCTACTACTACACGTCCTTGTAGTTGTTTGTTTTTTTTCTATTAACAAACGAAATTGCATTCTAAATGACCAGAATTTTCTTGGAATCATCCAAGTCATCGATGATGATGATGATGATGATGTCGATGATAATGGGGGTGTGTTTGTGTGGGTTACACACACACACACACACACACGTGATATATGATTCGATTTTATATATTTTGTTGATGATTGTTTAGATTTTTTTTTTATATTATTATTTTCAAAAGTCATAATGATAATGCATCAAGGAATGAAAATGATAAAATATCTATGTTTGTATACTATGTGGCTACTAGATTATCGTTATTTTCTAAAATTGTTATTATCGCATACACCACCGCCACAAACAACACAAACAAACACGAGTTTTGAATTTTTATTTTTATTTTTGAAAAGAAATTGAAATTGATTGATTTTCAGTGTTTTTTTATGTGATTTAATTCATTGTTTTTTTTAATGAAAAATTTTTCTTTATATTTTCCTTCAATACCTTGTTCATCTGGATAGATCCATTGATCGAAGCTGAAGATTATTCGTCATTATTCAATAATAATAATGATGATGACCGACAACCGGATAGATTGACAATTGACAAAAATGAAAATAATGAAGAAAAATCTAATGAAAATGATCTACAACAACAACAACAACAACAAGAACAACAAGTGGAAATCATTGAAAACAATATCGACAATAATAATAATGTGGATGAATCAACATTGGATGAATTTCTACTCGATGATGATGATGATCAAATTTTACCTATTCTTGGTTCCGGTGATAATGGTGATGTTAATGATCTATTTGATGAACTTGAATTATTATTATCGGTAAGTTATTTTTTTATTTTGAAACAAAATATTTTCATCTTTTGTTTTTATTCTGTTGCTCTGATTATTTTTTTTGAGAACGGAAATTGACTTTAATAATTATTATTCGATTTTTTTTGTGGTGTATGTAAATTTTATTTTCCGATCATCATCATTTTTTGTTTGTTTGTTTTGTTTCCTTTTTTTTTCTCTTATTCACAAATCTATTACCCATGATATCGATTATACAGAAAACAACAAACAGTCACCAGTGTTTTTTAATTGACCTGTATGATGATGATTCAACGTGTATTATAATTTATATCTCTTTTTTTTTTTTTGGTTTCTGAATAATATTTTGCAGCAATATATAGCTAAAAAAAAATAGCAGCAGTAGCAATGAAAAGTTTTCCCATTTGCAGTGAGATCTATGAGAATTTTTTTTCGTTCGTTCGTTCGTTTTTTTTTGTTGTAATAATCGTTTCAAAACTAAAACAAAAAAAACCAATTTTTCGCAATTTAAAATGACAGCTGCTTACAAAGAAAAGAAAAAAAATTTGGCGACAAATGGCCGATCGACCTGTGTTTTTGTGTGTGTATGTTATACAGGACACTTGTTGATTTACTATGTTAACCTCGAACATACTGCTGACATATTGATAGAGTGGCAAAAGAGAAAAGTAGATTTCATCGATATACCGGAGAAATATCGATATATATTTATATTTATATATATACGGTTTGTATGATCATAAGAATGACCCGCTTTAAGCTCATAGTAGTAGTTGAATTATTGAGTTTCATTTTTTTTTAAAAAGCTAGTTATTTAGTTAGTTTTTTTTCATTTTCAAATTGAAAGTATCATGTTCCATCTTAAATTGAAATAAAAATATCCACCAGGAGGTCGAACATTATTATTTTCTTTAATGGAAACCCATTTTTTTCTCAATATTCATTTGTCCTTCGTGTATTCACGAGCTGTATTTGTTGTTTGTGTGTGTGTGTGTGTGTGTGTGGATATAAACTTATTTTTTCTGGTCATTGATTGGTTATTGTTTTGAATGAATGAATTTTTTTCTTTTTTTGGAAATGAATAGCCATAATTCATTTTTGATTCGATTCATTTTTACCATTTTTTTTTGTTTTAATTAATTTATTCGGGTTACTTCCTTGGATTTTTTTTCCAAAAAAAAAAAAAAAAAAACAAACTAAAAGCACTTCATAAAAGCATTGTCAACTTGTCGTTGTCGTTTTTTTTCCATTCGTTATTTTTGGGTAAAATAATTGAATCGCAAATTTGGGCTAAAAATTAATTATTTATGATTATCATCCACATCTGTATGTATTTATGTTTGTTTGTTTGTTTGTTTGTTTATAATGTTTGTCTTTGATATATCCATGACCAGAAATGAATATATGGATATAAAAAGTTTAAAGCCAAATGATGATAATCCCTTACGGATATATTAATTCAATTTTTTTTTGCTTCATTGTTTGTGAATGTGAATCAAATCATTATTATGCGTCGTGTATTCGTGTGTATGATGAACTTTAGTTTAAGCTACTATTTTTTTTGTGTTTAAATTTTGAATTTTCTGGAATGTGTCGTTGGCACTTTCGTGATACATCATATGATTCAATTATTTGTCAATGATTAGTTCCACACACACACACACACATAGACAGACAAAAAAAATATATACATTATGATCCTACATTGCCATTGTGATGGTGATGGGCATTTGTATCCGTACTTTTATATAGAATAGATGCAAAGAATTTATAGAATGAGATCACTTAATACGTATATGATTATGAATTTTTTTTATGCTTTGTCACGTATTTGGTTTTCATTGTTTGTTTCGATTTAGACACTATGTAGGTGGGTGGGCATCCTATCATTTGTATGTGTGAAATGTCAATCTCGTTGTTGATGTTGTGAATATAATAAATTTTTTCCCAACGAATTCTTAAATTTTGATTCAGAGATTTTTTTTTCAATCTAGGAATACAGAATTCAATGAGAAATCGGAAGATTTTTTTTTTTGTTTTTTTTGGTAATACTATAATGAAGATGATGTGTGTGTGTGTGTGTTGTATAGTCAATGGTAGGTTAGACAATTGACAGAAAAAATAATTCAATTGTCACCTGTTGATGAACAATAATAATAGATAGAATGGTTGGTTTGACAATGATCGGTTATTATTTTTATTTGCCACTACATATAAAGACCGCGCCTCCTTTTCAGGCCACCACCTATTTTTCTATATGTTTTCATTTAATAAAAAGGCGATACCTGTTGCATTGTATAGATATTTGTCTAGGTATATATACCAAATTATGATTCACCTAGGTGTTTTATTGTCGTAGTTGGTGCATGTTTTTTTTTCTTTGTTGGATAAAATCCATATACAGTTTGGCCTCAGTCTAATGATAGGATTTTTTATCGTCGTCGGAAGTCAAAGACATCTTTGATCGATATATATTTTTTGTCTGCTTGTTTGTTTGTTTCTAGCCGCAAAAAATTGTATCCAATTTTGTTCATTTCGAATTTTGACATTGTCATCGACAAATTGATCTTGGGTTTTCAATTTTTTTTTCATTCTTTGTTGTTTTTTTTTTTGTTCATCATTGTTATTCTTATTTGTTTATCGTCAATATTATATTTGTCTTTAAATCTGACAATTAACGCAAAATGATGATGGAAAATCCTAACGGTGCCTGCAGTTCTCTTTACATATTGAGTTCGGCTTCACCATTCACAACAGCATCAGCAGCAGCAACAGCATCAACAACAACGACAGCGGCGGCTGTAGCTAATCCTAATCCTATTAATGATTATTGTCTGATTAAAAAATCTGTTAGTCATGAATTTTCTTCATTTTTTGTTTGTTTGTTTTTCTTATAAACACGTTTTTCAATTCTTATAATTTTTGTTTGATTTTTTTTTCTCTAGAATGAAACCGATTCATATGGTAATCATCATAACGAATGGTCATCATATAATGGATATCAAGCGAATCCAATTACAACAATCGCTACAGATGAAAATGGTCCCGAATATCCGATTTATGATGTTACACAAAATTGTAATCTCTATGAACAAAGTTCCAACGGTCAACTTCTCAATAATTGTTCCGGTATGTTAAATGATGATGATAGAGTGATCAAATAAACATTTTAAAAATAAATCATTTCATAGGGCAATATTATTGCAATAATAATAACAGCAATAACACAAATGAAAATGGTCACAACAATTTAAGTGCCGTACTTTATTCTTCCTTAACAACACTGTCCAATGGTCAAGATCATCATTTGAATTCAGATTTGTCTTATAATGGTTTCAATAATGGTGTTGCTATCAGTGATGCCGGTACTTATATGAGCAATGTATCATTTCCAACCAATAATTCCGTACCGGATTGTTTCTATAATGGCTATTTAGATGAATATAATTATCCATCAGATATCAATCAACATGGACAGAATTTTGAATATAATTCATTATCTACAATTCCTACACAGTCCACACCTACTACCTCAACACCTGTATCACAAAACTTACTCAATACTAATAACGATCATGAACAACAACAAAAATTCGTCCATACAAACACAGAAGATTGTTTCGATAAAAGTAGTGATTCAGCTGTATCATCAATGAGTTCTGATCGTGTTCATTCATTATCGGATAATGTAAGTGTGCCGTCATTTTTGGTTATGATCATCATCTATATATTAAATTTACATTTTCATTTATTTATAGGATTTGATTGATACTTCATCAGAATCTTCATCATATAATTGTGAAATGAATAATCTATCCGGTGGTAATAATAATAATAATGATAATAATAATAATAATTCGGCTGCAAAGAAAAAATATCGCCTTTTTGGTAAAAACAGTATTAGCAGTAGTAATACTAGTATGAATACCAATGATGATAGTAGTAATAAAAATGATGAAGGCAAAAATATCGTACAATTGACCGATTATTATGGTGAATATCCCCCAATGAACTATCTTTATTCAAATTCTGCACCATATTCAATGATTGATTCGAATGGAATTGGCCACTATAATTCAATCAATTATTATCCAACAACTGCTGTACAACATAATCATACATATGCTCAATTGCCTAATAATAATGAACCAATACATTCTTCGATAGCTAGTACAAATGTGTCCTGTTCATCTTCGAATGATTGGATTAAACAAGAAAATATTGAAAATGATTCACAGAATGAAAATGTGCTCAATAGTAAACAAAAATCAAATCGTCATTCGAAACAACGTGCCGATAGTATCAGTAGCGATACAGAACATAATCATTTTAATCGTGATGAAAAAAGAGCTCGTGCTTTAAATATTCCTATATCAACTGAAGATATTATCAATTTGCCTATTGATGAATTCAATGAAAGATTGACTAAATATGAATTGACTGAAATTCAATTATCACTTATTCGTGATATACGAAGGCGAGGTAAGTGATAATTATCAATAATTGTGATTTCAAAAAAATTTACCTGATCATTTTAAATAGGTAAAAATAAAGTTGCAGCTCAAAATTGTCGCAAACGTAAACTAGATCAAATAATGGGATTACAATCCGAAGTGGACACTATGTATAATCAAAAAGATTCCCTTGAAAATCAATATAATCAATTATTAATGGTTCGCGAAATGGCTCGAGATAAATATAATAAACTCTATCATTTTGTTGTCGAAGCATCATCGTCAAGGCAAACATTTCTTGAATTATCATCTAGTCCACCGGATTTTCCTTTAAAAGATTCATCATCTAACGAGATCCAAATCAATGGTAATTCAACCAATGGATTTATCGTGACTAATACTACTGTAACGACGACGACTACACCACCGGTTCCCATTTCATCATATGGTATCGATGAATTTGATGATCAACAAAAACAACGATAGAAATATAGTTGAGCATTTTTTTCTTTTAGAATTCTTTTCAAATTTTCTATCCAATTTATTTAGCAATTTTTGGTTTATACGTATACGTATATTGCATTGTTTTGATCGGCTTGAGCATCAAAATTTTTAATGCGGCTTGGAAAAAAAATGAATATATTCTATTTCATTGTGATATTTTCTTTCGACACTATATATACTCCTATAGTTTCCTTAATTTTCCCACAAAAAAAACAAACAAACGCAAATTTGTAGTTGTATTATAAATTTCTCAAAATGCTTGGTCATTTTCCTCCTACTACTCCTACTCCTACTCCTCATCATCATCATCAACATCATCATCATCATTAACATCATCATTTGTAAATAGTTTTATTTTGAAAAATCAACTCACATACACATACACATATACAAATTATGTCACATAATCTCTATATATTGTAAGCTTTAATTGATCCAATTTCTCCAACACACCCACATCCACACACCCACACACTTATATTTACGAAAATATTTTCTGAAAAATTGTAATTGTAATATATATATATAAAACAAATAATAAGTTTCTAGGTAACTTTTTCTCTGGTATTTTGAAAAAAAATTTTTTTTTTCGAAGAAAAACAAATGAATAAGATTCTTTTTCAATTTTATCATCATCATCATCATCATTAACATTAAATAATAAATTGTATAAACAAATTTAAAAAATTTTTTTTTTCATTGCAATATCTGTCAGGTGTAATTTGATTTTGATAAAATTGAACACACACCTACACACACACACACACACCTGCACACACAAAAACATTGGTACTTAAATGAATAATATATATATAGAATTCTCGATCATCATTTCGTTTTCTTTTTGTATTGTGAATATCATCAAACATTTTTTAAATTCTTTATTAGACACTCATAATAAAGTAAATGATGAATATTTGTACGATTAAAAATTGATGAATGCTCATTCTCCACCCGAAGATGGCAGCACAATATGAATTCATCAGGCTATGAATTTATTTTTTTTTATTATTATTATTCGTTTTTCTTCATTTCTTCGTTTGTTTGATAATCCGTTTTTGGAAGATATTTTTCAATGAATAAATGTATTAACCAAATGAAGAATAGGCCATAAATTAAGAAGCCAATGATGGATAGATATTTTTGTTTATGGCAAACCTGTTGCGGATACCATATGTTAACCCATTCGGTTAGTAAACAAATTATTGCCTGTAATATTTGTAATAATGTTATGACCATTGGTAATATCCATGGCAATTGATTCGGTGTGGATGATTTCATGGCAAAATAAAGATACATAAAAGAATGTACTAGAAAATCTGTACAGATTAGCCAACGAGAATTGCTTGGCATATCTAACATTTGCCATGAATAACACAATGAAATTATGTGATAAATCCAATGGATTGATAGTAATTTTTGTTTATTCAATACAATAATGACGCTGGTGAGCAGCTCGAAAATTCTCGATATACGATGTAGAGACATCCAAAGAAAATATCTTGGATCCTATAATGCCGAAAAAAAATTGATTAGACAAAAACATGCGTACAATAATAATATTAGATGACGTAGATTGTCAAAACAACACTTACGTCAATATAACGATCGTCACAGATCGATTGAAATAGACCATAGTTTTGTATCATGAAAATCAATTCAGGTAATATACGAAAGGTGCCCACAATAGAAAACAAAGACATTGTTAAATTCCAGAATGAAAGTACATCATTCAATCTATATGGTTGACGATTGCGCATCAATCTTGGAATCCAACATACAACAATGATCAAATATAATAATGAAATGGCAAATGGTAGCCATTGATTATTTTCAATAAAATATATTAATTTCGATAGATTTAACAATAATAAACGTTCAATGTTTAATGCTGAATTGAAACCCGGATATTGTGAAAAATCGAATGAAACATTGTGGAAATTTTTCTCTAAATACGTAGTTAATTTACGTACTTGTCGATCATCATTCATCATCATATCATTATTATCCATCATGATTCAATCACATTAGATGAATGGAGATTTTTCGATGACAAAACAAAAAAAATTAATTTCACTTTTAATCATACAATAGAATGAACTCGAATAAAATAAAATTTCCGAATGAAAATCAAAAAAAAAAAAAACATATATCAATGGATAAATGAGTACAACAACAATGCCGACAATAATGATTAAGCAAAATTGATTTTACCGCAATGGCTACATGTAGGATGATGATGATGATGATGATAATCAAACTTTGATGTCATTTAGAGTGGATATGATATCATCTTGTAAGAGTGCTACTGTGCTACTGTGTGTGTGTGTGTGGTGTGGGTGTATTGTACGAAATCTGTATGTTTTGATGAACATGAGTTTCATTGTATTGATGAACAATTGTCATCATCATATTTCTATTGTTCTTCAGATTTTGTTATATCGATCAAAATATTAGGATCTCCATGTTGAAACATTAATGCTACGACTGAAAAGAATGCTGAAATGAACTTTGTGTGATAAAAAAAATTAGCGATAAATTATTAGCAAAAAACAAAAACAAAAATTTTCACTCACCTTGACTATATTAGCAGCATTAATAGGTGTATTCATCACTTCAACACCAAGATTTTGATTCAAACAATCAATCATTTCAGGCAATTTTGAATAGCCTGAATAGCCAAATTTTGGTTGTACATTATTAGCTTTACCATTATTATGATTAGATTCTGAATGTAATAGAAAACGACGAACATTAACATATTCATAAGCTAAATCGGATAATGCATTAGCTTCAACATCAATATGGCTAAATATAACTGAAAATGAAATAATATTCTGTATGATAATAAATAGTAAAATAGCACAAACATAACGTTTAAATGGTTGGATTTCAGAATAGAATGTAATATAATAAAATTCAAGAACAGTTGTCAATAAACAGCCAACAATAATCATATATGAATCTTTTAAATAAACTTTTGCATATTGAATCATTAGATATAGATTCCAGAATGATTGAACAAATTTTGGTTTTAAACTACCATCACTTAGATGTAAATGAAATCGTTGATAATATTGTTGTAATAATGATACACAGATATTATTTAAAATGAATAATAATGTGATAAAAAATCCAGATAAATATGTACTCAATGTAATATAAAGATGATTCAATAGTTGATCATAGAAATTTAGATCTTGAATAATAGAATAGCTTGTATTTAAAAATATAGTTATCATTATGGTTATAACCAATGCTTTACGAATGGTTTTATCTATTGTTTCGAATGATAATTGAATATCTTCTTTAACCAATTCACCATAATGAAAATAAACCATACGTAGCCATTGATGATCATCAACATACCAACGATTATATAATAGAAACAGAATCGTTCGATATGATATCATTAAAAGATTGCCAACCACTCTCATTGATTGGCCAAAAAATATACAGCCCATTTCAAAATGGAAACAATCTTCATCGATTTCAGCATGGATAGATCGTACGAAATTGATAAGAAAAATAAGATAATCAGTCCAAATGATAATTCCAATACAAATCATCAATATTGAACGATGATTTCCATTGTTTATTTTAAAATATTTTTTCAAACTTTGACAAATTTGATCAAGATCTGAATCTTCCATGTTTGTCTAGCTATGGTTGAATGATTCATGGATAGACATTGAATTTCATACTACAAACTTTAAATTTGTTTTCAATTCCGACCATTATTGATTATTACTTTTTTTATCTTTATGATTATGTGAATTTTTTTTTCTATTATGAAACATTTCAAAATTTCATTCAATCGATAAATGTCAAACAAAACAACAAATCCAGATGAATGGTCCTCAAAAAAAAAAGTTTTGCTTGTTACCTGTAAAGTTTTCCAAGAAAAAAAAATATACTTTTTCGTCGTTGACCATGTCATTTCCAAGGAGAAACACATTGGCTTTATATTGTTGTTGTTGTTGTTGTTGTTGTTGTTCAAATGACAAAGTTTCAATCATAATGTCAAAAAAAAAATCGAAAAAATCGGAAAAATTTTCTTTTTATTCATTTGTCATCATCATCATCATCATTATCATCATCATTCAAAAAAAAATTCGGTTGTTATCGATTAAAATTCAAGGGAACCAACAATGATATATTAGGAAAGATTAGTAGAGAAATAGAGAGAGAGAGAATATGCAAATTCAAATACATATATGTTTATGTGTTTCAAATAGACAAATAAATTTATTGATTGAGATTCAGACAAACAAATTTAATGTTAGACAGAATTTATTTTTATTTTTTTTATGTTTATGTTTATGTATGATTGATTGATTGATAGGTAACAAACAATAAGAGAAACAGAATTCATATGGATCATCATTTTATTATTGTTTTCAATCATCATCATCATCATCATAATCACCATGATATGTATTGTCCAATATTGTTCAATTCATAAATTCTATAATAATCTGATGTTATCACTGATGATGGACATGTGTGATTCCAAAATTTAGATAGAATTTTCAATAGATTATGATCGATTGAATTTATTTTTGTTGTTGATGTTGTTATTGATGATGAAATATATTAAGTATAAAAACTTGTATTATTAATTCATTCTGTGTGTGTGTGTGTGTGTGATTCTAGATGTTTCCAAAATGATGATTGAGTAATTGATTTTGGCCGATATTGTCTTAAGTGTTTGTATGTGTGTGTGTCTGTTTTTGTTCTAGTAGGTGTAGTATTCTGGATTCTGTGTCTGTTGATTGTTGATAGCTGACACGATTATTTTTTTACTTTTTACCAATTTTCTAAAATTCATGTTTATAAAAGTGAACCAGAAGAAGAAAGGGAGAAAAATTTTTAACAAAAATGAGTTTGCATTGTCATTTATTTTTGTTTTGTATTGAAATTCATTTTCATTATCATCAGCTTACCTGGAACAATCCCATCCGATGACATCGACAATTGGTTCCCCAAAGATTACATCGGCATACTATATTTATTGGTGAAAATGAAATACGAACCAAAAAAAATACATGACACAAGAAACAGTTAGAATTATTCGATTCATACGAAAAGAATTCTGTAGATGTCAAATTATTATATGAATACACACACACACACACACACACACACACTATCAAAACTAAAAAAAAAAAAATAACAACGGGCAAAATGTCAATTTATTTATTTAGATGAATGGCTATGAAAAATATGAAAAGAAATGTTTAGAATCCGATATGATGGTTTGAATTTGATAACACACACACACACACACACACAATGGACAATGATATAATCTTATATAAATCTTTTGAATTATCAAAACAAACACAAACGCACACACACACAAACCGTATGAATATCGAATATTGGAATTGATCGTTTACGTATGGCACGATTTCTCAATGCATTTTTACTAAGGAAATTTTTTGTCATACAAAGGCAAAAAAAAACTAACGTCCTTGGGAATTAATCCTGTTTTTTTTCTGGATGATTATTTTTTTTCTTCTCAATGAATAAACCAACAACGAGGAAATTTTCATCCATTTTTATGATTCGACTTTTTTTTCGCCTGTTTTTCTTTCTCGAAAATGGAACAATTTTTTTTTTGTTTTGTTTCGACACAAAAAAAATTGAGAAAAAATCTCTTATTCAAACATAAAACGTTGCTCTAATTTGACATTTTTTTTTTATTTTTCATTCACTTTGAAGAATAGAAAAAAAATTGTCATCAAACAAAGAATTTTTAATGAAATGTCTTTAGGCATCAAGAGGTTTACTCTATCCATTTCGGGTAAACAATTGGCTTGCCCGACATATTATATAAGACATTTAAGTGTGTATGTGTGGGTATCATATACACGTATCATAAGAAGAAGAAAAAAAAACTAAAGAGCTGAGCTTGAATTATTTAAAACGTTTCACTTTCTTGTTGATCTGTTATTTTTTTTGTTTCTTCACATACATATAAAGCGGATATTAAGTTTCATTTTTTTTTGAAGTATGGAATAAAATGAAAACGACAGCAGCAGCAGCATCAGTAGAAAAAAAAACGAAAACTAAATCCTCGAGAGATTAAACGTAAAGGATAAAATATGAAAAAAAAGAACATATTGAATTGTACACAAACACATAGTATTTATCTAAAGAAATGGTGAATGAAAATAAAATTCTTGTTAAAAATGATATTGTTTCCGTGGATTGTAGTGGGGAAATAGCATGACATGTATAGCATTTTTGTTGTTGTTGTTGTTGTTTATAAATTTACAACACTCACTTGATTGTGGACAACAATCATTTGGTCGATGATCGCAAGGTGAACCACGTCGTAAGCAGCTACGTTTATCTGGTGATAAAAGCTGTCGATTGTTTATCAAATTTGCCAACATAATACCATAATAATCAAGATCATCTTGATCTAGTTATTAATAATTTATTCAAAATGATTGATTGATTGATTGATAGATCAACAAAAAAAAATTTTTGTTTTATACGAACGAAAAAAAAACTTACTATCATCCGTTGACATGTATTCGGCTGCCATATATCCAACAATCATACTGATAATCAACATGGTCATGGTTACACAATTCATTCGTGACATTTTGGCCATTTTATTCGATATATGCTATGAGAATGGATAAATCAATCAAAGTTATTCATTAAAATTCATTCACTCATTAAAACTTGATAAATTAATTGATTATTTTCGGATGTAAAAACATAAGCAAACCAAAATTAAGAATTTTAGAATCTGGATCATATCATATCACTAAACTAATGAACTGAATCGTTCATACTTTCCCAATGGAGACAAAAATAGAGAATGAAAGAGATACAATGAAAATTTCATAAATTTAATGCCAATGGAAATGAACACTAGCACTGATATGTCAGTATGTGTGTGTGTGCAGAGCAAATTCTATCCTGTCAGTAGACAACGCTGGTCGAAAAAGGATTAATGTCATTATCGAGCACAGACAAACATCGTAATCATCACGTACATTCAATAATCAAACATCGTTTATATTAAAAAAAAACAACAACAAATGAAATAAAAAAAAAATATTTAAGCCGAATTCCATCATTATATGGAAAGAATTGTACAACGGGGAAAAAAATTACAGAACATCAAAAGGAATTAGTTAGTGACCAAAACAACAGTTACAAACAAACATATACAGATCAACAGAATCCATGTTCATTTTTTTTCTCTCATTTCCGTTATTATTTATCAGGCTAATAAATTATCATTATCTATTCTAGTTGATTTTTTTTCATGTTTGTGTGTGTTTGTGTGTGTGTGTGTGTGGCAACGATTTTGATCATAATGATGATGATGATGATGATGATCATAATGATGGATGAATGAATGAATGGAAAAAGAAAATAACAAACTTTTACAAGGATACCCATTTATAATGATTGTATGGCAATGTTAATAAAACACATTCGTATCCATTTTTTTTTTTTTTTTTTGGTCAGGTTAAATTGCATGATGATGTAATAATACAAATACTCATGATTCTGACTGGAATGTTTTTTCTTTCTACTCGACACAGAATCATAGATCATTGAAACGACAGATCAATGAATGATTTGGACAATTTTTCTTTTTCTTCACTTCATTGCAATCGATAATAATTTTGTGTAATGAAATTTATTACGAAAAAAAGATGGTAAACAAAAAATTCCATATTCTTACAGAAACCAAATAGTAAAACCAAATGACAAATAATAATCGATTTCATATATAATATCGATATCAAGCTGGATAAATATTGTCCAGAAAATAAATAATGATTTGATTTTAATTGAAATTCTTATCTTCTGAACCAAAAATTATATGATTTACATTTTGATTATTATTCATAACAGAATAAATGTATCGATTTGATTATTGATGATGATGATAATGATATTCGTAGCCGAAATATCATCAACAAACTACTCATTCAAAATTCATGTCATAGAATAATAAAACAAATATAGATATGGAATATTACGATTGGAATTCCATTGAAGATTATTTTATTCAATTCAATTCATTGGGGAACTATAGCCATCATTCTTTTCTCCTTTTCAAAAAAAAAAAATACTTTAAAAATGGCCCCTGTAACGTTGATTTCACTGTAATGCATTTTTTTTCTTCTTTTTGTTTGTTTGAATGAAATAAACATTTTCAATTTTATTGTACACTTCAACTATGGATAGAAAATTGATTGAAAATTGATCTTTTCCACTCAATCTATAAATAGATTTAATTTGAAATGAAAATCTGCTATCTATAATTACAAAAACTGTCACTAGATCAGTGAGTTTTTTTTTCTACAAATCGAATGTGGCTAAATGGCAATGCTTGAAGTTTGTCATATATATATAACAATATATAATAAGTAAATGAAAATAAATCAATCAAATTGTAACTCACTTTTGGAAATTGTGATAAATAAACAAATAAACAGATCAGATATATATCACCAACAACAACAATAATAATTTGAAATTAAAATTAATCAATTCGTACACTGTTTTTGCAATTATTGATGATCGAAATGAAAAGTTCAATTAAATGAAAGTATTTCCAATCGAATGATAGAATTGTTGATGGAAAGCAGCAGGTTTCGTTTGTTGCATTTATTTATTTGATATTGTGGATATATTCTCAATGAAATAAATTTGGCCAACTTGGCATAAATTGCCCTTATATATATGCAATCGGTTTTCAGGATTCATTATTTTGTTACATGAATTCTTTACACAGGCTCAGTTTGGAATTTTGGTATTTTTTTTTTGACTAGCAATATCTTTTGCTATTCAAAATGATAATAGTAGTTGTAGTAGTAGTAGTAGGAGTTTAGTAGTAGTCCTGAATCAGTCATTGAAAAAAAGAGTTCTTCCCTCCCAATGAAGATTATCACAAATATCAAAGAAAAAAAAACCCCATGATTTTTGTTCACATTACCATGGTCTTCTCCGCCTTTGAATTTATAGGAATGTGTGTTGATTCTTTTTGATTCTTACGACAATAATACGCCCGTCCTGAGAATCGTCCAAATGCAAAAAAAAAACACAAACACTGAGAAAATTTTTTCATTAATTGAATACCATAATCAGAATCACGTTTACGTTTTTGTTACGTTGTTCATTCAGGTTTATTTACCCCTTTCTTATATTTGTTATGTTCATTTTAATAATATACATGGATATTGTATACAATAGTGTGTGTGTATTGCAAAATCACATGATATACCATATTATTTTTGCTTAATTCCATTCCATCATTGAATAATGATGAACCAAAAAAAACCAACTACATGTATAAACAAAAAAAAAATATTGTCGACATCATATAATATAACTAATCAAGTCAAAATGACCAAATAAATACCGTAAACCATTTATTATATAATCAATCTTGTTATCATATCATCAACAAGGCACCAATTAAGGCTAATTCGAATCGATAATAATACCATAAACAAAAAAAAACAGGTTAATGTTGAAAAGTTTCGATAGAATTTAAATATGAAACAGGTCGATGGATTATTTATTTATTTATTTTTTTTTCTTTTACTTACGTAAACAACAACAACAACAACAAACAACGACAACGACAAGTAATGAAAAATTTTTTTTTGGCCAATATTGGAAAAAACTGAAAATAAATTTTTCTGGCTAAATGTTTACTTTCATCAAATTTTCATTTTCATTTTTTCACTGGGTTATCATCACTAGGAAATTGTGGAAAAATATTATGTCATCCGCCTACACGTGTATATATGTAAACATGGTAAAAGTTTTTTTTTTTTTTTATAACTAGAATATTCTCTATGATTATGGAATACTAGGAAGTGTGCCAATAATGATGGACTATGTACATGGATGATGGTCTTATGATGGAAAAATTCACATTTAGCCAACTGAATCGAGCGAGATTAAAAATCAATTGATTTTGATCACTAATTTCATCATTAATTAATTATATGCAAAGTTGTAATTCACAATCAGATTCTATTCTCGTTGTTTTTATAGATTGAAGAAGAAAAAAAAACTTTTTCTAGTATATTTAGATGGATTTAGATTTTCATGGCGACGTGGAAACATCTTGTTGTTGCTGGAATTCAACATTTGTTCCGTTTTTTTTTTTTTTTGCTTTGAAAAGCAAAGAAAGAGAGAGAATTTGAGCAGCTAACTTTTTTTTGAAATTGATTCATCCAATAGAATAATGTTTTTGTTGTTGTTGTTGTTGTTGTTGCTGATGTTTTCATTACTATCATTATTATTATTTCGTGACGAATATTCATAAATTTGAATACTTTTTTTGGAAAAATTCTCATCACATGAGAATGAATAATAGAAGAATATCAAAGTGAAATTCTGTTTACATCATCATATATGATTGGATAATTACAAATTTTTCTTTTTTTTTTTTTTTATTTATTCCATAGCACTGTTGTTGTTGTTAGGAACGACTGCATTCATGCTAATTATGTTAATATGAAATTTTTGTTCAAAACAAAAATAATTATCCAGTGTTTAGCTAAATAATAGAAATTTCTTCCATTTTCTCAATTAATAATGATATGAAATTTGATATGTTTGACTAATTTAATATAACGATATATATTGTGCATAAGAAAGGAACAATTTTCCATGTGCGACGGAAATGGTATGGTATCGTTTTTTTTCTCGTCTTTGGATTGAATCGATTGAATTGAAATTTTTTTCTCCTTTGATTCAATTACAATTTCTGATGAACACAATAATTCTCTAATCTGTGTTGTTATCAGATCTAAAAGGAAAAACAATGAACAGAATTTTTTTTTTTTTTTTTTTGGTTTTGTTTTGTTATTCATTATTCTTCTACCAGCATTTTTTTCTGGTTCTATTATAATGTCAACTGAATTTTTTTTTCGTTGTTGTTTTCGTTGTTTCAAAAACCAAAAATAACAAACAGAATCATTTTCAAACAAAGATTGAATTGAAAAAACAAGAAAAAAAAGAAAACATTTGAATTGAACTAAAAATAGCAATCAAACAAACAGTGATGATATTTTTTTTCTGTTTGGTACGGATTGGAATCCTGGTGATTGCATCAATCAAGATCACGGGTTAAATTGCAACAAAAAACAAACTAACTATAGTGACGTATGTGTATAAACGATGATGATGATGATTTGGCAGTTGGTATTGTTCTTTTTTTTTATTGGTTATTCTGTTTTAAACTTGGCGATAATTTTACATGTGGGACCATTAAATTTAAAATAAATTCCGATGAGAACCTAATGAGACAGACAACTTTTTCATTTTCAATAACAAATCACATCACATGAAAGTTCTGAACAGTCTAAATGAAAAATTTCACATTAAATATCAGTATAATTAATAACCGTTGCCGTTAAAGCGACACAAGACCAAAAAAATGGGAATTTTTTTCCAACATAATGCACCTGAATAATGGTTCATTCTGAGATTCATTAAATAATGATGATATTTTGAAGGTTGCCTTTTTAATGAAAATTTATTAGTTAGTAGGCCGACTTTCATGGACAAAAGAATTATAGAATAATGTATGGGTTACATGAATCAGAATTTTTTTTCTTTGTCACTATTCATAAGTTCAAGTACCCTGGTTCATGATTATCATGGAAATTCTAAAAATAACAAAATTCAAATTGGAACCATTGAATGTGGATAGAATTTATGAGATGAACAAAAAAAAATATAACCATGTTTAAAGAAACTATTAGATAATTTTCGGAATTTGGATACAATTCTGTGAGATTAAAGTGAAAAAATGGAAAAATTTTATTTCCATCCTTTATTTGAATGAATAATAAAATTTAGCCTTCAACCATATGAGTGATGATGATGAGTGAAATTTTATGGCAAAATTTTTTTGAATAAAATTTCCAACAACAAAAAAAAGTTTGTTTAGGCCCTAGGCAAAACAAATATAAAATCATAACATTCGGTTGATTTTAAATCTATTTTAAATGTTAATTAATACAAAAATTTGAATTGAATTACACTGAATCATTTCAATTAACAGAAAAAAATGAATGAATGAATCAAATTGACGATAATTGTGATGAAAATTTATTGGATGCTGTCCAAAAAAAAAATTATCTATCAAATTGCTTTTTTGAAGAAAAAAAAATTGTATGCTCGAATCGCCTAGACTTGAATAGAAATAGAAAAAAAATTCAACATAATTGACACATATTCGAAACACACATGAACACGCTGCGAGTATAATAAACTTTGATCAAACTGTGTTCATTTATATATTATCATTAAATTGTCATAATTGTAAAAAAAAAAATAAATAAATAAGACGTGCGTGAGTGATGATTTTTCATGTGTTTTGATGACAAGCAAAATTGTATACAGATATCATATTTACATAATACACATAGGAAAGAAAAAAATTTCATTTTTTTCTTCAAGGAAAAATAAACTTCATCAAGATAAATTTTCATTTATTTATCCTGATATATCAGAAAGAGGTGACCAAAAACTAGTACATATATGACAGTAGTGTGACATGAGGAAAGAAAAAAAAATTGAATGATTTTATTTCATAATAAAATTTTTTTTTTGTTGAAAGTTTACATAATGGGATAGACCCGGAATTGATTATATGATACATACATAACTGTTTGATTGATAACGTTATCGTATGGTTATAATAAACATTTTTTTTTCTTCATATCATCATCATTATGATCAATGAATGACGACATACGATTCCATGGATTCCTAAGAAATCTTCATATACATTCTTATTCTAGTGAATTCACATGATTCACAATACGATTTTCAGTATATATAAAAAAATAAAAATAATAATAAGATTTAGGTCAATTCTAAGAGAATACGTAAAATGTGGTTTAAAATAATAAACCAGTCAGGCAGATAAAAAATAATTAGACAACAGTTCATTAACAAGAGAAGAAGAAAAAAAAAAAAAAGACTGACATACTATGATTGTTGTTGTGACTAGAGAATCAATTTATCGTCATAAAATAAATCTTTCTATCTATTTAATTGTGTATGTGTATGGTTTTTTTTCCCCCACAAACACACAAACAAACAAAGTACGGACATATTGAACAAATCGAAAAATTTAGAAAATTTTTCATCTGAAACAACATGTGATACCAGTGATAACAGCGGGATCATAATCATTATCAACCAGATAAGAGAAAAAAATCAACAACAACAACAACAACAACAACGACAAACAATAATTATCCAACCGTCATAAACATACACACACACAAACACGAAATTACCAGTATTCTCATATGGGAAAAGAAATGAAATGTGAATGAAATTTTTTTTTTTTTAATTTGTTGAGAATAAAAAAAATAAATTGAATGTCAACCATCATTGGATAGGTCAACATTAAATCAAACCAAGTCAGATAGATAGAAAAAAAACATAGCGATACATTTAATTGTTTGGAAAGAAAAACCAAATGGCCAAATTGTGAACCATAATCTATTGATAATTATAATGGGCGTATAATGGAGATAATTACCGGTTTTTCATTTATTCAATTTCATTTTTGTTTGCACCGGATGTTGAACAATTTTTTTTTGTTTTCATTTCATCGAAATGAATAAAGAGATCATGACGAGTGAAAAAATCATCAACCG